ACCATTGTCTGTCCCTGTTCGAGTGGGCCAAGCTGTTGACGTTGTTGGTCAGGCTGGTCGTCCCAAAACAATCACTGGTTTCCAGACCCACTCGACACCCGTTCTTCTGGCTGCCGGTGATAGAGCAGAGCTGGCTACAGAGAAGTACGAATTATTTCCTGTAGAGTTCCTCTGTTCGACTTCTTGTTTGATCACTTGACACACTAACAATTGTTTTTATGCAGGTATATCCCCCTTTCTCCCATCCTGGAAGGGTTTGTCATCTTGAAAGAGAATCCAGATTACCGGGAAGATAACTAGTTTTGCCAACCATGACATTTGCCGAGCTCGTCTCACTATGTATGCATTCTGGTTCATCATGCAAGTCCGGAGTCCGAGCGAAGACCAGCTTTGGGCTTTTAGGATTGAATTCGGATGCAGGTTGGTTCCAGCCTTTGTATTATTGTGTCACCCAGGAAGTTAGCGCATCTATGGGAGTTAGATGAAAGCGCATATTTGAATGCAGTGATGAGGAAAATGTGGAACGGCAGTTCAATGCCAAAAAATTTCATGGAAGCATTTATGTAACTTATCTTCAGTAACTGATTGTAATACGGTATCATTTAGATTTGTTATTTCTTTCGGAGCGCTCTATTACAATCTGTTTTTTAAGCCTTCATTTATAGATGTTACAAAAAAGTAGACGTTAGAATTGTGAACCACAAAAGACAAGCATGGTGTTCAAGAAAATACTAAAATGATTATCAATTTTTTAAAAACAAAAATAATAATAATTTAATTAAGTGGTTAAATAGTTTCGGATTAGAGATTTTGCAGTGACAATTTGAAGGAATAACTGAAAATAGGCAATTTCGGATTATTAAAATTACAAATTTAGTTATATACCCAATCTTAGACAGTCTTATAAAGAAACCTTGTACCATTTTAAAACTATAAACACACCCGAAGAAAAAAAAACCCCCCAAAATTGACAACTGTGGACTTTTTCAAATTTATAGCCAATTTTAGTTTATTTGTGTGTAAAATACCTATATTACCCTTTTATTGTGGATTTAAGAGAGAAAAATCAGATCTGCCAAAAAACCAAATAAGATTCATTTTCTCCATTCTCGCTAGTACTTTCTCAGTGTTGGAGCAAGAGGAGCTTCCATTGAAGCTTAGTCTCAGGTCCAACTATATTCTTCATCTCTGATCTACAATTTTCAATATTTCACCTTTGATTTCTTGTTATAAAATCATGCTTCTTTTCTTTTCTTTTTTTTTCCGGATTGTTCGGAACCTCGAACGAACCTCGATCAGATGCTCCTAACTTTACTCCTCATCTTCGAGCTCTACTCCTCTTTCACCACATCATCGTCATCATCGTCATTGTCATCACTGTCGTTGTCGTCATTGTCGTTGTTTGGTTTAGACTTCAGGTTTTTTATCTTTTACTTCAATTATGTGTTTCTCTTCGGATTTTAATTGATTTTCGGAATGTATTTTAAGCTTTGATGATCGATATATCTTTTGTTACTATTTCAGTTATGGATCACATTTTTGTTTAACAATGTACTTTTATGACAAAGTATTAACAACATGACAGTAAACTAGTAGTGTTATAACCCTAGACTGGAACATTACAGTCATTAATCAACATGAACACTAGCAGTGTGTTCACCCGTTTTAGATTTGTTCCTATGATGGTAGGGTAAAGTTCCCCATTGTCTTGAAAACCATTTGTGGTCAACAAGTGAACTTTCTTTTGTGTATGAGCGTGTCATTGCTAACAATAAAAACCCTAGCAAACTTATTTAAAAATGGATAACTTGCACCCCAAGTTACTGATCTCTAAACAAGCGATTGTGAATTTGGGTAAGGAATATCTCATAAGTAAGTTCTTTTTTTGCCTCAGACTGGTGAGGACTTCACAAGTTTTCCCAGTACAAGACTGGTAGTTCTGGCCAGAATGAATGATAAGAAAGTAAACTGTTTTTAGGCAGAACTGCCTTTTAGAAAACTCAAAAGGAAAGACCAACTCTAAAAAAGAACAAAAAGAGCATTGGACTTCAATTTCTGCATGGATAGATGCTTTTGATCCGGATTGAGTATGTCTGTGCTGGATCGGACTATCAACACCTTCAATTGTCAAGTTTCAGCTGTAAATCGATACCAACGTTCGAGTTTGGCAGAGCTTTAATCTATTTCAAGCCCTAAAAGGCTTTTTGAACGGGCAGAATTGGAGCCTCTTCAGTCTGGAAGGGGCAGAAGTGGCAGGATTTGATGATTACTGAGCTGGAACTACACTGTAGCACATGTTCTACTTGATCAGGGTTTTCCATAAATTTGTTGAGGTTTTCATATTTGCAAAAACCCAGACTTTGCTTGATTTGGCTTATGCTGAACCAAATTTGTAACGAGAGAAATCTCGCTTTGTATGACTATTTCTCTGAACTGAATTTAGAGATTCTGAATTTATAGCTGACTTGTTCCTTGTGGCTCAATGAGCTTTGGTTGCTTCAGTGTCTCGAAGGCTTTTGAGATCAAGTAATCATTTTGAGTTTTTGTTTTTTATTGGGTTTTTGGCTGTCCTTTGATCTGTTCACCTCCTCTCATATTTATAAAAAAGTGTTGGAATGAGTTTTCTAATCTTTTAATAATGGGCAGCAAATTTTCTAAAAGTGAGAACTTTTATTTTAAATGTCAAAGAAAGGGGAATTTTATCTATTCTGTCAAAAGGGCCATCAACAGTCAATTCTTATGGTGATCACTTCTCTATTTTTGAAAGAAAAACTTAATCCATTTTTTAACCTTTAACTGCTCTTTGTGAGAATTCAATCTGCCGTGATGGTTAGTTTGCTTTTCCTGATGAACAACTCCCTACTCCCTACTTATCTCTTTAGAAAATGTAGTATTCTTATCCCTTGGAAATGATACCTGCTCTGAAGAAAACTTTTCTTTGTATATAGAAACGGATTTTGATCTTCTTCCTTGACTGTAAAGACTAGAGAAATTTTCATGTTTAAGACCTGCCTTCATTAATTCCCCATCAACTCTAGTTGAAATTTTTGACTTTTCAAAGTCAGGTAGTCACGTGGGTTTATTTGTGAATAGACTTTTTAAAAGTCTGCTAACATTGTACTCTGGGATTGAGATCAATGGTGAGATTTTTTAGAAGCTGGACGCAATCCAATTCTTTTAGAATTTCATCGACCTGTTTGGTGATGAATTGCCATTTAATTGGCAATTTCATTGACTTACTTTGTGTTTTTTACACCTCTGCCACTTTGTAAAAGACATGGGCCTCTTTTGTTTGTTTTGGGCTGCTTTTCTGGAATCAAGGCCCATTCTTATGTTTTCTGTTTTGTGGGCTGTTTGTAAAAATGGGCTGTCGTGCAGAGCGTTGGCCCAAACATATGGAGAACTCCGGTGGCTGCCCAAAAATTGGCTTGAACCTTTTGATTTTGGACTGGGCGTGCCGAATTAGGCCCAAACACAGTGTTATTACCCTAGACTAGAGCATTATAGGCATTAATCAACATGACAATAAAGGTGTGGAACATTACAGTTGTTAATCATCATGACGCGTTAATGAAGCTACGGTTTTCAAGACATTTTGTTTGCAATGAATTTTTTGGGTTTTATTTTTTATAAAATTGGGCTGGGCTTGTTTTTGGTGCTTTTAAAGATTTTTTGTGTTGGGCTTCTTTTAAGTTGATCAATGACAATCACATAATTTCTAGGAACTTCAACACAAATTTGTTTTTAGTAAATGAGTTTTGAGTGTGTTTCTAAAGTGTATTCCATGCATAATTTTTTAATATAATTTCAGCCCTTATTTTAGGTATATTAGCGAAGCTCCCTGTTAAAAACAAGGTCTCTTATTTTTAGGTTCCAAAGCTTTTTAGTTTTGTTTGGAAAGCAATATATATTTTTGGCTTAACTTCAACGTGTCCGTCCAGGGTGAATAGAAAGCATCTAAACAAACTAGTGATTCACATTTTTCAATTATTTTTCTTTTACGCAAAAGTTTATTTTTTGTCCCTATATGACAAAATCCGCCCCGAATTCCTCCGAATCCAGGACGAATCCTGTGGTATTTCCGACATTAATCTGATGCCGAGCCCGCTTACTAAAAGAGACGAGACTTTCTACCGAAATTTCAGCAGAATCTTCCTTGAAAAATGGACATTTCCCAAAAAATTTCAACATGTTAAAACATATTTAATAACACCAACCAGCAACATGCACAAGATAATAACATGCACTTTACATAATAGGCCTCCGGCCTTACAATTAACCCTAACATGGGCGATAATATAGCATATCTAACGGAATTTAGTTTACAACAAAATGAAGTTCAACATAATTAAAAATAGATGAAAGTTTGCCCTACACAAGCTCAGCTCGGAGTTCACAACTTCATACTGCCGCTCGATTCAAGACTATCTACTACCTTTGGGGAGTGGGCAAAAACAAAGTTTTGTTAGATTTGAAAACAACATAATATAACCCCCATTGTATAGAAAACGATGCTGAAAACGACATGCATTCAAAACCGACGTAGCTACATATATGTATATATAGTTAAGTAAAAAACAAAGTGAAACCCATATTCCGTAATAGTATACCAAAACCATCCCATTCAAAACCTTTCCCATTTTCCCCACACTTTTTTAGGGTTTAAACAATAATGAAAGTATAGATACGTATATATATATATGTATATATAAATATATATGACCACTACCAAACTTGTACCAGGGAAACGATACTCAGCAGTTCTGCTTGAGTGTAAGCACCTGGCAGAAGCACTACACAACCATACTGATGTAGGGTTTGGGCCTATAGTTCTGGCTCACTTGTCCAAGAACCTGCACACCGCCACCTTGGAGAATCCTTTGAACCTGTCTGCTCCTGGTGCGTTCTAGATGATCCAAATTTGGCTGTAGGTCTATTTCCCAAAGTTTAGATTTCCATATATAGTTCTAAATGAAGACCAAGTTCTGGCTCATCCACTAATGTCAGCAACAGTGCCCAAGCGCTCACTTGAGGAGTACCTGATGTTTTTCAGGAACTGTACTAAGAGATCTGCAACTCAGTGGCAAGTGGTGACCAAAGGGACTTATCCTTGGTTCCAACTAGGATTCAGACTGTTTGAGAAGGAACCAATAGAAGAAGCAAGCAGAAAAGACTTCAGGAAGAAGTTTTTGAGTGTGACTCTACCTCGGGACCTGCCCTTTGGAGGTGGGAAGCCTCCAAACTATCATTTGGGGGGCATAAGTGTATCATCCCAACTTCTGTGCATGGCAACTTGGTTGCCCTCAGCTTATTCCATTCAAATCATATAGAAGTTATAATCGGGCCACTTCCTAAAGAGACTCAGATGATCTGGAAGTGCACAAGGACTGCAGGTTCTCTGTGAACAAGATCAACAACAGTGTTGACGCTCTCTATCCATCCTAGGAGCATAATTCCTGCAGTTATGCCGAGTTTGATGCTTAATGGAAAACTAGATTCCAAGGTCTGCCTGCCTTAAGTACTGCCACCAAAGTGCTTTTTGATGGCTGGGATTCTTGGACCGTCTTTGTTGGAGAGAAGGCCAAATGGTTCATGGTGCAGACCATTGAGGACATTAATGCTCAAGTCATTGAAGGTAGATTCCTAATTTTGCCTCTTTTTCCTTCACTCTTTCTGTATTTATCTCATTTTGCCTATGTGATGGTGTCTAACAATCTATTCTTTTTGTACCAAATCCTTCCATGACAAAGGATATTAGAGGCAAGGCTATTAAGGCCGGAGAAGTGTTTAGTAAGCCTTTGAGCTCTGTCCTTTACCTTTTTTCCTACTGGATTGCCTTCTAACCCTTTCTTTTCTGTGCAATTACTTATGTCATATCTACTGGAGACTTAGAGCTCCCCTTTTGGGATGAAGAAGATCAATGTGAAACTCTGGTAGAACAACCAACTGTTGAGGCAACTTCTTCTGCCAGGAGGAACCAAAGAAATGAGGTTGCCCTAGCTCAGGACAGTGTTGTCCAGTCTAAAACCTCAAGTAAACCTTGAGAAATGGAACTTTCTATTTTTGTTCTGCTTAGTTCTCTTGTTCTAACCCCTTGTCTTCTGCAATTTACAGTTGAAAGTCCCCCTCCTCCTCCTACTAGGTCAAAAAGACTTAGGAAGAGGACTGTGGTGGAATATCTGGCCACAGAAGAACCTACAGCAGCTCCTACAATAACTTCTGGAACAGATGAAGAGCTAAGGGAGGCTTTTGAAGCTATAAAGCAGGAAAAAGAAGTAGATGTCTCAACAGGAGACAAGGAGAAGACCAAAGAAGTCGAGGAAGAAGTGAGATCCTTTCTTTAATTCCTTAATCAGATTCATCTTGTACTTGTTATTCTGTTCTGACTTCCGTCCTTCTATAGGAGGAGATTCTCGCTGAGGTGATAGCAGAAAGCATTGCCTTGGCCCAACAACACCAAGAATCTCATAGGGCAGAACCCACAAGTTCATAATTGGCATTATTTGATGATGTGGAGGCAGAACACTCTGCTGCTACCCCAGAGCCTGAAGTGGGGGTAGAATACTCTGTTGCTGTCCCTATACATGAGGGGGGGCAAAGTACTCTGTTGTTGCCCCTGTACCCGAGGTAACTTCCGTTTTCCCTAATTTTGTCCTGGCTTCTTCAATTCTGTCTGTCTTGGTTTCTCTAATTGATACTCCCGTTTTCCTAGGTAAAAGAGAACAGAACTGCTAGGACTCTGGCTGTGGTGACCAGTCCTCTTAAGCCACCTATTGTGGCTGTAAGTATCATTGTGCTTTTAATCTTTTTCTCATTCTAATTTAGCATGGAAGTAATTGAAATTATTTCTTTGCAGATGCCTATCCACTATATCCCTGGCTCCTCAACCACGGCCTCATTTGCTGATCCAGAATTGGTAGAGTTTGAAACCATGGATCTGGATGCTCAGCTGGATAAGCTAAAGAAGCTCAACTCGACTCCTAGCAAGGCTAAGTCCAAAGCAGTGGATGAGGCAGTGGACAGAGTAAGAATCTAGCAGTCAACTGAGCTGGATTTGGATGAGAATAAGGAAGCTGTTGATCAGTTGATGAAGAATCTGGACCTGCTGCACAGAGAAAACATGGCTCCCAGGCCTATACTTGAGATTAGCCTAGGTCTGGCAAGAGATGTGCTCAATCTTCAGAATCGCTATGAAGATCTCACGCCCTCCTTCAGTGCCTCCAAGTTTTGCAAAGCTACTCATGAAGCCAACTTGGCTGATTACCAAAAACAGAAGGCAGAACTGGACATAATGGTCGTAAATTACAAGGTGGCCAAGGGTGCTGCTGACAAGTTGGAGAAACAAATTGAAGAACTTCAAAAGCAGCTGGCTGGTTTGAGGGAGAGGCAAAACAAGCTTGGGGCTGGATTGGGCACCAAGACTAAGGCCACTTTCCTTGTGCAAAACATGGTCTCAGCTTCTAGGCCAGCATTGGAGATTGCAGAGGCTTCCATTTATCAGAGAGTGCTCCTCCAAAAAGATATTTCCACCAAGAAAACTGGACTGCAAGAAACCCTTAGAAAACTAGGACTTTAAATTTAAATTTTTGAATGTAATAAAACTTAGTCATGGAAATGACTATATTTAATAAAAATCCTATTCTTGGTGAAACTTTGCATTTTCAATTTCTTCTAATTTAAATGAAATAAAAGAAAGCAGAAAATAAAACACACTTTTAAAAATAACACTAAAAGTACGACTATGCACAAAACTCAAACAACAAATCCATCTTTTTCTCCTTCAATTCTAGGATATGTTTGCACTGTCTGTGAATCCCACATAGTTGAATAGAACTTCTTTAACCATTTTCCATTGATTGGCGCAACATGGTTGTCTCCATCTCGATCCTGTAATTTGTATGCCCCAAATCCAAGGACTTGCTTAATTATGAAAAGACCTTCCCATGTGGGTGACCATTTTCCATACCCAGCTATGTGTGTTCTAAGGGGCAGAACTACTTTCCATACTATTTCTCCTTCTTCAAAACTCTTGTTTTTAACTCTTTTGTTGTATGCCCTTGTTATAGCCTGTTTCCCTACTAAGAGCTTGTTGAGGGTATCAATTCTGCTAGTATCCAAACCTTCTAGTTCTAGAAGCATTACTTGAGAGTAGTCTCCAACTAGATTGTGTTGTTGAGCAATTCTAAGAGATTGGACTGCTATTTCCATAGGCAAAATTGCATCATGACCATATGTTAGAGCATATGGGGTAATGCCAGTTGCATCTCTCTTTGAAGTTCTATATGCCCAGAGAGTTTCTGATAATTTCTCATGCCATTGCTTTGGATTTTTCTCAAGCATTTTCCTGATAATGTTGATGATCACCTTGTTACTTGATTCTGCCTGTCCATTAGCTTGAGCATAATAAGGAGTGGATTGAAGTAGTTTGAACTTGAATGCTTCTGCCATATCTAGCATTTCTCTAGATATGAAAGAAGATCCCATGTCAGTTGTGATTGACTCTAGAATACTAAACATTTGTATAATCTGTTATTTTATGAAGATGATGATCTCTTGAGACGTAGTGAATTTAACAGGCTTGGCTTCTACCCATTTGGTGAAATAGTCTGTAGCTACAATGATGAAACAATGTTGTTTGCTACTGGCTGGATAGATTTTGCCTATGAGATCTGTTGCCCATCCTCTGAATAGCCATGGCTTAACCACTGGACTCATGGGAATTGAAGGAGCTTGCTGGATTGGTCCATGTCTTTGGCAAGCCTCACATCCTTTGGAATATTCAATGCAATCTTTCATCATAGTTGGCCAGAAGTAACCATACCTTCTGATTAACCAGCACGTCTTCCTTCCACCTTGATGAGCTCCACAGATTCCTTCATGGACTTCTCCCATGACCTTCATGTACTCTTTTTTCCCCATGCATCTCAAAAGTAACTCATCTTTGCTCTTTCGGACCAAATCTCCATTCCACATGAGGTAGTTTAAGGTTGTGATTCTAATCCTTTTTTCATAGGGAAGGATTGGATACTGCAGATAATTGATTATGGGCAATCTCCAATCTTCTTCAGTCATTATTGCAGCATTGACATCTATTTTAGTATAAGCATGGAATCTCCCAGAATTTCGACAGATTGGATTCCTAGTTCACCAGCATCTTTAGTCCTATGATTAAAGCTTCGTACTCTGCATTGTTATTGGTGCACTAGAAATCTAGCTGGAAGGAATAGCAATGTTTGATTCCTAGTGGATTTTCCAAAACAATCCCTACTCTAGAGGTTGAGTCTGTTTTAGATCCATCAAAGTATAGCTTCCCGGGGGTGAGATGGACCGAGTAAATGGGATTATTGAGGTAGGTGTGAGCTCTAGTCAGTAGATCTGCATTGGCTATGTCCATGGAATCCATGTTCTCAGTTTCTTCTCCTGGATGATCTGCCAAGAAATCTGCAGCAGCTTGTTCCTTGATGGACTTCTAAGGAACATATATGAAGGCAAATTCTAACAGGGCCAGAGTCCATTTACCAATTCTCCCTCTCAACATTGGCCTTGTTAGCATGTACTTGATCAAATCTGTCTTGGCAATGATGTAGGTGGTGAAAGGTAGCATGTAATGTTTGAGTTTTATAGCAGTAAAGTATAAAGCTAGACATAGCCTTTTAATTGCATAATATTTCCTTTCTACTTCCGTTAAAGTTCTGCTTAGGTAATATACTGCATGTTCCTTCCCTTCTTTGTTATCTTGAACCAATCGACTCCCATCATCCATATAAACTTCTAGAGAATGACCTATCATGTCATGGAAAACAGAAATTCATTGCTCTTTGATAAGTGGCTCCTGCATTTCTCAAGCCAAAAGGCATTACAGTGTATTCAAAAGCACCTACCTGCCCTGGACACATGAAGGTTGTCTTGTGGATGTCTTCTTCTGCCACAATTATTTGATTGTATCCTACATTGCCATCCATGAATGATAGCATCTGATTGTGGGCAGCTCCGTCTACCAGCATGTCTGCCATAGGCATTGGATACTCGTCTTTCGGGGATGCTTCATTCAAATTCCTGTAGTCCATGCATATTCTGATTGCCCCTATTTTCCTTTTAAGGACTAGTACAATATTGGACAACCAATCAGCATAAATGGCTGGCCTTATAAAACCTGCTTTAACCAGCCTTTGCACTTCTTCTTTGACTTTCAGTTCTGTTTCCATAGACATCCTCCTTATGACCTGCTCTAGTAAGGGCTCGTTTGGGAGCGCTTATGCCAGTAGCGCTTATGCCAATAACACTTATGACATAAGCGCTTCTACAAAGAAGCAGTTTGTTGTTTGGATGTCACATTTAAATGTGCTTTTACACTACATAAAAGTGCTTTTGATATTTTGTTGAGTGTTTGGCTAGCACAGTAAAAGCGTTTTTAAAAGTACTTAAAAAAAGTTTAAAGAATCCCAAAATACTATAATAAACATAGGAAATAAAAATTACATAGAGATGGATCCCTGCAAAAGACCAAATCCTTAGTAGTTAATTAAGGAGATAACATAGAGATGGATCTATGAAATCAGTTAACAATGGGGTCACAGGGGCTGGGATTTGCAGCATTGTTAAAATCAGTAGACCTATATTGATTATCATAATGCTACATTGAAAAAACAACTAACCTTAGAATCACATATCAGATAAATAATTGAATGTTTGACCATGCAATTTGAGAATGCTTTGTTCAATTCCACCAATTCCATTGTTTTATCTTCTTCGTTGGGTCAGGAGTTTCCAAATGAACAAATCAATACAGATTGACCCAAATTAACGTATGAAACTGTTAATTCAATCAAGCCCACTGCAAATTTTACTCATGAAACAAAACAAAAAGAAATTGACAAGTCCATGCATACAAATTTCAAAAAAGAAAAAAAAATCAAAACCATGAAAAAGACTTAAATTCGTACACGCTAAATAAAAAATTCAAAAACATGTAAAGGACTTCAAGGCAGAGAAGATCCAGTTTCATCCAAATAATAAAATATCATAGAAGAACATATCCAATTAGAGAACTCAGATAAGGAAATCCAAAAACAAAGAATACCCAAATGGTTTTTAATGATTATAATACAATCTAGAGGAAAAGCAAGGATGGCCATGGCTTTTAATTGATACTACCTGGAAAGAAACCATGAGGCCAAGAGAGAGAAATAACACGATGGAGTCTTATGCGAAGCGAGCGACAGAACAAATTAGGGTATTTTAGCATTTTTGAAAATTAAATAGGGATATTTTTGGTGTTTTGAAATTTTCATTAAAGGGAGCCAAGTGCTTCCCGTGTATTCACTTGGCAGCACTTCTATGAAGAAGCATTTCTCAAGTGCTTCTTAAAAAACCACTTCAAGTGCTTTTGAATCCCACCTAAAGTGCTTTTACAATTTCTACCAAACATAATTTTTAAAAGATAGAAGTGCTTTTACCCATTTAGAAGCGCTTTTAGCAATTTCAAAAGCACTCCCAAACAAGCCCTAATTTTAGCAATTTCATAGTAGTGCCATGCGAAACAGTCTTTGAAATCATGCAGAAGTGCAATGATTTCATTCTTTACTGGCTCTTCTAGTAATGTGCTGATGAAAGTAGGTCTGGGATCTTCTTCTGTTCCCATGTTTATTTCTTGCAAAGGATCCTCTACTTCTGGCAGGGAATCATCTAGTGTTGCTGGTGCAAATTCCAATTCTACCTCTTGCAAATTTCCTTTCTGTTCTTCTATACTCTCATGCATGAATTCTGCCATGTTAATGGTTGGACTATGCATAGAAAGCTTTCTTTCTTCCCAATATTCCAACAATCTATTTGTAATGGATCGGATTGTTGCAGCTTGATCCCTTTCTTGTTGGTTTGAGCTAAACATCAGAACTCTAAAGGTTGAGAATGCAGGGTCTATTCCAGTTCTCTAGAGAACTAGCCAGACCTTCTTCAATGAGTTTTTGGGCCGTGACACCATGGGGACGACCATTCTGGTTAATTTCAAAGGAAGTGAAAGGATCAAGGTCATCATGATAATACCTAGCCTCAAAACATAATGCAAATGGCAGGAATGGTCGTGGGTTGGCCTCCACAATTTCCATAAAACCTTCTTCATGCTAGAGGGCCAACTGCTAGTGTAGAGTGAAAGGAGCACATAGACTCTGGTGGATCCAATCTCTGCCAAGTAGTGCATTGTAAGTGGTAGAAGTCGTGTCTACCACAAAAAAGGAAATATTTAGCTTCTTGGTTCCTACTATGACATCCACATCCAGTATTCCATGAGTCTTAGTGAAGTCCACAGCAAAGTTGGTGACTGTTAAGCATGTCGGAATTAAATCCTTCTCTGTTTTGCCCATCTTGATTTGCAACATGTGAGGTAGAAATTTAATGGCTGCACCTCCATCTACCATTACTTTGGGAATAGGAACACCCCCAAAGTTTGCTGTTATGAACAAAGGTCTGAGATGATTGGCTATTTCTTTGGTAGGTTCGGAGAAGCAGAGCTATTCTGCGGCAAATTTCATGGCAGTTTTGCCTGCTTTGGCACTCTGCACTGAAAGCCTTAGTTTCTTCATCTAGTTCTCCATCGTACTCCATCTGTTCTTCTCCATATTCTTCTATCCAGTCTTCTTGCTCACTTGTTTTGAGGAGTCTTGTCTGGTCGTTTGCAGATGGTTCGTAGTCTAACTGCTCCTCTTCATATTCTTTAGTCCAATCCTCTTGTCCTTCTACTGGAATAGGTCCGGATTGATCTTGTGATTGTGACGGTTCCAATTGGTTGACTGAGGGTGAGGCAGGATGGATAGAAGGTTTGCTTGGAGATTCTGTCTTCAGCTTTTTTGGATGTGTTAACTGGTATTTCCCTCTTTGGCTACTCTGTCATTTTTCTGTTGCGATGGGCAGGCCTTTGATAGGTCTTTTGCCTAGCCATGTCTTTAGGTGGAGCCAAAACTAGGCCCTGTTGATATGATGTTCCAATCCTATCAAAAACACTAGCTATGGGCAGAACTACCCCAGCAAAAATGGTTGCTTTTGGTCTATAATTAGCCTCTCTTGTGACTCTTCTATCTATGTTAGGGCTAGCTTCTGCTGTTAGTTTGCCTTTCTTCTGTTCTAGCCAATTTAAGTTGACCATGTTGACTGGAGGTTGGGGAAAAGGGTCTGTTGTTACTGAGGGAGGTTTCTCAGCCAATTTCAGCATTCCTGCCGTTATCCCTTCTTGTATGACGTCCCTGACAAAAACACAACTATTGGTGGAATGGTTCTAAGAGTTGTGTCATCTGCTATATTGTCTGCCCTTGAGTTCCTCTGGCTTGGGCAACCTGTGGAGTGTCTCTATTGCCTTATGCAGTAGTATCTCATCAAATAGAGCATCAACCTTGGTTAAATCGAAGAATAAACTTTGTTCTATGCTAGTTTGTTTAGAACAAACCCACTTGTAAATGCTAGCGGCTTCTGGTCCTTAGGTGGCTTTGTCAGAGCCATGCAACTGATGGGGTTTTGTAATATGTGCCTTTGGAGGAGTTCCTCTTCTGTTGTTCTTCCTCAGAGAGATTTTAAGGGCGGTTTGAGCCATTTGAATGCAGTGTCTTTCTTCCATAGGGATTCGGCATTCCATTTTGAGTTTTTTGAACCTGGTTATGAAATCTTGGGCAGGCTCATCTTCACTCTGTTTGAGGGCAGAATGATCACTGATGATGACTTCTGGCTGAATCCTGAAATAGTAGTCATGGAAGACATTTTCAATATGTTCCCAAGTTTAAACATAATTGGCTGGTAAGCTAGTATACCAAGTGAAGGCTTGTTCGGAGAGAGAGTTTCCAAAAAGCCTTAGTTTTAACAGAGGGTTATTTTCTATGGCTATGCACTGAATAGAGAATCTGCCTATATGCTCAACTGATGAAGCATGGGTGTCTTCTCCATTGAACAAGGTGAAGTTTCGTACCTTAATGCCCGGGTACAGAGGTATTTGATCAATATAGGCTAGATATGGCTTTCTGTAGGTGGGCCTTTCTCCTCTTCTGGCCTCAGGTTCCATCATGTCTCTTGTCCTCCTCTGTAGTGTTCCCATGTCATTTAAGGCATTGACAAGATGCGGATTGCGCTCCTGTTCTGGCTGGTTGTGTTCAATCCTCTATTCCATTCTGTATGGTCTGGGTAGAGCTTCCTCCCTATGTTCTTCCTCTTCTTCGAAATCTAGATGATTCCTCCAGTTTTCCACCGGTCTATTCCTGTCATTGTTGGCAAAAGGGTTAATTCCCCCTCTACCTCTCTATTGCCTCTAGTTAGTAGAGGGAATGGATTGAGGTCCATCCTTCTAGGTCTGTAGGGCAACACAGCTGGTTGCTCAGGCAGAAGTGCCAATGGCTGATAACATAGGACCACCGGTTGTGGAATAGGTGGAGGTTCTAATTGGTTCTTGGGGGCCTGAACTGGCGCAGGGCCTTCTAGAAGGACTGGAGCTTCATGTCCTTGAACGGGAAGGGCTCATCCCCTCTACCCAGCTTGGATTTCTCCATGTCTTGGCATTCCAGCTATTTGTACGATGAGAGGATTCTCTTGGTATGGCCATGCTAGTCCTGGTAGAGGTCCAAAAGGGAGATCAAGCTGCTAGACCACCAAATCTGGGTTGGGAATTCTGGCAATAGCAGCCTCACGGTCCTTCCTGAACTGCCTGTTGACTTGCCACTACATCATGGTTGCCATGTTGTTTAAAGTATCCTGGCTCTTTTGTGTCGTGGCCTCTTACCCGAACACAGCCTCCTGTATCTGGTTTAACCTTATGGAATGTCTACTCTTGGTACTGCCATGGGCTGATTGCCTAGCATCACTTTCTTCTGACTCAAGTCCCTCTCGAAGAGCTGCTTGATCTCTTTCCATGGCATAGCGTGGATTCTCACTAGAGCTTCCAATATTCATATACTAGAAGATTTTTCTAGGAATATGTGTACTGAGAAGTCCCATTGGGCGTGCTAAATTGTTCACCCGTTTTAGATTTGTTCCTGTGATGGTAGTGTAAAGTTCCCCACCGTCTTGAAAACCATTTGTGGTCAACAAGTCAACTTTATTTTGTGTATGAGCATGCCACTGCTAGCAATAAAAACCCTAGCAGACTTCCTTAAAAATGGATAACTTGCAACCCAAGTTACTGATTTCTAAACAAGCGATTGTGAATTTTGGTGAGAAATATCTCCCAAGTAAGTTCTTGTCTTTCCTCAGACTGGTGAGGACTTCACAATTTTTCACAATACAAGACTGGTAGTTCTAGCCATAATGAAGATAAGAAAGTGAACTGTTTTTAGGCAGAACTGCCTTTTACAAAACTCAAAAGGAAAGATCAACTCTAAAAAAGAACAAAAAGAGTGTTGGACTTCAATTTCTGCTTGGATAGATGCTTTTGATCTAGGCTAGACTGGGCATCTCTATGCTGGATTGGACTATCAACACCTGTTTGGTGATGACTTGCCATTTAATTGGTGAGATTTTTTAGAAGCTGGGCCCAATCCAATTCTTTTAGAATTTCATCGACCAGTTTGGTGATGAATTGCCATTTAATTGGCAATTTCATTGACTTACTTTGTGTTTTTTACACCTCTGCCACTTTGTAAAAGACATGGGCCTCTTTTTTTTGGTTTGGGCTGCTTTTCTGGAATCAAGGCCCATTCTTTTGTTTTCTGTTTTGTGGGCTTTTTGTAAAAATGGGATGTCGTGCGGAGTGTTGGCCAAAACATATGGAGAACTCTGGTGGCTGCCCAAAAATTGACATGGGCTCCTTGATTTTGGACTGGTCATGCCGAATTAGGCTCAAACATAGTGTTATTACCCCAGGCTACGAATTCGGCTACGGTTTTCAAGACGTCTTGTCTGTAATGAATTGTTTAGATTTTTTTATTATATAAAATTGGGATGAGCTTGTTTTTGGTGCTTTCAAAGATTTTTTGTGTTGGGCTTGTTTTAAGTTGATCAATGACAGTCACGTAATTTCTAGGAACTTCAACACCAATTTTTTTTTAGTAAATGAGTTTTGAGTGTGTTTCTAAAGTGTATTCCACGCGGGATTTTTATTTATTTATAATTTCAGCCCTTATTTTATGTATATTAGTGAAGCTCCCCATTAAAATACAAGGTCTCTTATTTTTAGGTTCCAAAGCTTTTTAGTTTTGTTTGGAAAGCAATATTTTTTTTTGGCTCAACTTCAATGTGTCCAGGGTGAATAGAAAGCATCTAAACAAACTAGTGATTCACATTTTTCAATTATTTTTCTTTTACGCAAAAGTTTATTTTTGATCCCTATATGACAAGACTTGCCCCGAATTCCTCCGAATCCGGGACAAATCCTGTGGTATTTCCAACATTAATCTGATGCCGAGCCCGCTTACTAAAAGAGACAAGACTTTCTACTGAAATTTCAGCAGTATCTTCCCAGAAAAATGGACATTTCCCATAAAATTTCAACCTGTTAAAACACATTTAATAACACCAACCAGCAACATGCACAAGATAATAACATGCATTTTACATAATAGGCCTCCGGCCTTACAATTAACCCTAACATGGGCGATAATATAGCATATCTAACGGAATTCAGTTTACAAGAAAATGAAGTTCAACATAATTAAAAATGGATGAAAGTTTGCCCTACACAAGCTCGGCTCGGAGTTCACGACTTCATACTGTCGTTCGATTCAAGACTATCTACTACCTTTGGGGAGTGGGCAAAAACAAGGTTTTGTTAGATTTGAAAACAACATAATATAACCCCCATTGTTTAGAAAACGATGCTGCAAAATGACATGCATTCAAAACCGATGTAGCTACATATATGTATAATATAGTTAAGTAAAAAACAAAGTGAAACCCATATTCCGTAATAGTATACCAAAACCATCCCATTCAAAACCTTTTCCATTTTCCCCATACTTTTTTAGGGTTTAAACAATAATGAAAGTATAGATACGTATATATATACATAATATATTTAATATACATATATATAAATATATATGACCACTACCAAACTTGTACCGAGGAACCAATCCAACTGGGGGATCGTTTGACTGGACCACATGGAAGAAACCTCAATTGACCATGTGGCTAGGAAACGAGCTTTCGAACCGAGGACTGGGCTCACCAGCACATACAGCAGAATCATCAATACTCGTACGCCTGTGACAAGTTCTACACACGCAAACTAACCCCACTAAGAGTCTGCGAAACACCCTGTGAAGGGTGCCATCCAAGTATCACACAATTCCAAGTACATAGGGTAGTACTTATAGCACTCAAAACTGACATAAACCACAACCCAACTCATATTCCATAATCCCTTTCCAACAAACCCATATACCACACACATCCAAGTATAGATAGAAATTCTCAAAAATAACACATATCCATTCAAAATATTCATAATCCACAATTATTCAAATATAATTCCAATACTTTCATAATAGTATTATATTCAACATTTATAAATAAATAATAACTCAATAATCCAAGAAATCATTGTGCATATTTTTCTATCCTTGAAAATAATGATTATAGTTTAAAAACAAAGTCCACTCATAGATAGTCCTACGCTGCTTGACCCTAAGGGGTCCTGCCTATTGTATACGCTGGGTCGGAGTACCTATTTAAAGACACGAGGACTAGATTAAAATAAAGCGCTTCAAACGAGAACTTTAAAATAAATTCCTAATTTTTCTGGGATTCAAGGTGTGTGAATGACGAACGAGGAGTTCCTAAGGTCAAACTACATGTTTTGAATGGTGGAATAACCTCGGAAGAAGGTCGGTCAACCGAGTGGTCAAACTTTCTAATTTTGATCAATCGGTCCTGCGGGGTCCACTAGAATTTTCCATGCGGTTTCAAGCAACAAATTAAAAAGAAGCCTAATTAGGCGAATGAAGGATTCAATGCTGTTGAAAGATGAATCTTGTACGAACATAAAAATCTTCCTTATACTTATAAGAAGGCATTATTCAATGCGACCATCGATTTCCAATCCGAACGTTCCTATGGGTTTAACAAGGTTTATTATACATGTCCTGCAAGTTTGGTCCGAATCGAACGATCGGATCTCTCGCTAGCGCACGATCGGACGGTTACCATTTGACCTAATCTTTGATTCTCCATCAGGGAATTCGTACTTGATCCTAGAGGTGCCCAGATCCACATATTTGAAAATGGAATCAATCCAATGGTCTAAACATATTGAACCCGGATAATGCCTGATATGCGTAAATCTGATCGACTGTCAAACAATAACCAAATTCAAATCCGAGCATACCGTCGTGCTCGGGATGACATGGGGATCATTTTAGGATCAAATGGGTTCCCCAAACAGGGGCCACGAGCCACCATACGCACCAGAAGCTCGTGAGTGTCTTGAGAAATTCTGGTAACCGAAAAATTCTCGAATCACCCAACAATACCTATACCTACGTGATCAGGACAACGAGTGAAGTAACTTTTGTTCTTAGACCACGGTCAAAAAGTGACTGGAACTTGTCAACCAACCATCAACTAGAACACGTTGAAAGATTAGAAAGCATATCTGGATCAACAAATTTGGTGGTCAGAATCATCGGAATGAATGACGGAAATTTTGGGTAAAAATTGGTTAGATTTTCACTTTTTCCAACGACCTGGGATGACAGCTGAGGCGGGGGAGGAGTGTGATGGAGAAAAGAGGTGGAGGTGGTTGTTTTGGGTATCGACCTTGTGGCCGGTGGTGGTTGGAAGCAGCGGCGGTGGCCTAAAATGTGGCTAGTTGAACTGTTTGGGGTAGGGGGCTGTCGCGCAAAGGAAAGAGAGCGGGGGGGGGGGGGGGGGGGGGGGGGGTGAGATATATATATATATTTACAGTTGTGCCACGAGGCTTCCGTCGGTCATAACTTCTTCGTTACAACTCTGATTGAAGCCCACTACGTGTCTACGTGTCTACGAACTTGTATCGACGCGATCTACGGCGTGGTGTCATTCAATTCTCCAAAATCCTACCGGATTAAAAAGTGACCAAAAAAACCCGATCATGGAGGGCAAAATTGTAATTTCATAATTAAGTTAATTAATTAATTTTAATGGACAATAAAAATAGGGTCAGGGTGTCACAACCTACACCCCTTATAAAAATTTCATCCTCGAAATTTTCGTACCTATCATTCGAACAGACAAGGGTATTTGGCTCGCATCTACGCCTCGGATTCCCAAGTAGCTTCCTCAACAGTTTGACTCCTCCACAATACCTTCACTACTGAAATGGTTGTAGAGCGCAACACTTGTTCCTTTCTATCCAAAATTTGCACTGGTTGCTCCTCATATGTCAATTCTTCTCTCAGCTCCACAAATTGATATTCCAGGATAAGGGAAGGATTGGGCACGTACTTCCATAGCATAGATACGTGAAATACGTCATGAATCCAAGATAGTTCTGGAGGTAAGGCAAGTCTATAGGCAACGGGTCCGATGCATTCTGTGATCTCATAAGGTTCGAAATAACGAGGGCTTAACTTTCCACGTTTCCCGAACCTCATCACACCCTTCCAAGGAGATAGCTTCAAGAACACCTAATCCCCAACTACAAATTCAAGATCTTTGTTCCTGTTTTCTACATAACTCTTCTGTCGATCTTGTGCAGCCTTAAGCTTTTCCCTCATCATCTTCACCTTCTTTGTTGTTTCTTGAACACTTTCTACTTTCTCCAATTTTCTCTCACCCACCTCATTCTAACATATAGGAGTTCTACATTGCCTCCTATACAAAGCTTCTTACGGGGCCATTTCAATGCTCAAATGATAACTATTATTATAAGCGAACTCCACCAAGGTAAGATGAGTATCCCAATTATCTTTGAACTGCAACACACAAGATCTCAGCACGTCTTCCAAAGTTTGAATCGTTCTTTCCCATTGTCCGTTAGTTGTGGGTGGAAAGCAGTACTAAATAGTAACTTAGTACCCATAGCATCTTGTAAAAACTTCCAAAAGTGAGATGTGAACCTAGCATCCCAGTCTGACACAATGGACACGGATGCTCCATGCAACCTTACTATCTCATCCACAAAGAGCTTAGCAAGCTTCACCAATGAATAAGTTTCTTTAATAGGTAGGAAGTGAGCGGATTTGGTGAGTCGGTCAACTACCACTCAAATTCTATCATTCCCCCTCGAAGTGCATGGAAGTTTGAAAACGAAATCCATTGTAATATGTTCCCAGTTCCATTTAGGGATCGGAAGTGGTTGCATTAGTCCAAATGGTCTCTGTCGCTTCGCCTTCACCTGTTGGCAAACCAAACACCTGCTCATGTATCTAGAAATGTCACCCTTCATATGTGGCCAAGAGTAGTACTCACGTAGTGCCTGATACATCTTAGTACTACCCAGATGCATAGAATAGGCTGAACAATGAGCCTCCTCCATGATTTCCCTCTTTAAGTCTTCATTCTTGGGTACACATAGACTAGTTCTAGTTATCAAGGCTTCATCTACTCTCACTACATAATCCATTCGTGTACTATTCTCTACTTCCAGTCTTATCATACATTGTGTGGGATCTTCCAATTAAGCAGCAATCACCCACTCCACCAGAATAGGTCTCACATGCAAACTAGCAAGTAATCCACCATGTTGACTCATTCCCAGTTCAACTCTATCTTTCTGCAATTCCACCAGTAATGAAAGATAGGCCATTCTGAGATGAGCTAGGCTTCCACTAGACTTCTTACTGAAGGCATCCGCCACAACATTAACTTGGCTAAGATGACACTCAATTGTACAATCATAGTCCTTAATCAACTCCAGCCAATGCCTTTGTCTCATGTTTAACTCTAACATGTCTCACCATACAAGTAGCCCTATTTTAAAGGCGAACACCACTGCAGCAAGTTCCAAGTAATGGGTGGGATAATTATGCTCATGCTTCTTGAGTTGCCTCGAGTCATAAGCAATCACCCCATCATGTTGCATCAATACACATCCTAAACCTTGTAATGGCACATCATTGTAGATCACAAAATTCCTTGTATTATCCGAAAGGGCCAAAACAGGTGCGGTGGTTAACCGCTTCTTCAGCTCCTAAAAACTCTGTTCGCATTCCTCAATCCACACAAATTTGACGCATTTTTCTCGTTACCCGAGTGAGAGGTGCAGCTATCGTAGAGAAACCTTCTACAAAACGACGATAATAGCCTGTTAACCCTAGAAAACTTCGTACTTCCGTCACACTAGTAAGTTGTACCCAATTCACTACTACTTCTACCTTTCGAGGGTCCACATAATTCCTTCTGCCGAAATCACATGTCCATAGAAGTCCACTCTATCCAACCAGAACTGACATTTACTGAACTTGGCATAAAGTTGCTTTCTCCTCAAAGTCTTCAATACCAACCTCAAATCTTCTTATGACCCTCCAAACTTCGTGAGCATACAAGGATGTCTTCTATGAACACAATCACAAAGTGATCCAAGTAAGGTCGGAACACTCTGTTCATGAGATCCATAAATGCTGCTGGAGCATTCGTCAATCCGAAAGGCATCACCAAGAACTCGTAATGGCCGTAACGAGTCTTGAATGTCGTCTGAGGAATATCTTCTTCTTGGACTTTGAGTTGGTGGTATCACAATCTCAAATCAATCATGGAAAAGTATTTGGCACCCTTTAACTGATCGAACAGGTCATCTATACGAGGCAAAGGATATCAATTACGCAAACAACCTCATAATATCGTCCTTCTTCTTCACAAACAACACTAGAGTGCCCCAAGGGGAAACACTAGGTCAAATGAATCCAAGATCAATCAGTTCTAGTAATTGAGTCTTCAACTCCCGTAATTCAGCTGGTGCCATTCTATAAGGTGCTTGGTAGATGGGATTCATGCCTGGAAGGAGTTCAATAGTAAAAGCAGTTTCTCTTTAGGGAGGTAAGCCATGAAGATCATCCGGAAAGACATCCGAGAATTCTCGAACAACAAGAACATCCTTTAGATTTAGGGTGACCTCACGAGTATCGATGATATGAGCTAAGTATCCCACACATCCCCTCTTGAGTAACCGTCTAGCCGTTATGGTTGAGATTAGGCATGATGGGAGAACTCTATGCTCTTCACGAAAAGTGACTTCAGGTTGTCTCAGACTTCAAAGCATAACTTCCTTTCGGAAACAATCCATGGATTCATGATGCTTCTCCAACCAATCAATTCCCAAGATGATATCGAAGTCGACCAATTCCAAGGGAATCAAATCGACTTCCAACACTGCATCACCCACTTAAACAAAACTATCCCTGAACACCATGTCCACAAAAAAGACATCCCCCGTAGGTAAGGAAATACTAAAGCTTCCGGCAATGGGTGTGGGTCTAACACTTGCGTAGGGTACGAAGCTAGGTGCAATGAATGAGTGTGTGGCCCTAGGATCTATCAAAACGTGTGCAAAACACCCAAAAACAGGAATCATACCAATGATGACATCGGGTGTGGCATGTGCCTCCTACTAAGTCATAGAGAATGCATGGGCCTGAGTGGTCGAATGCCAAGACTGACCCCTTTGGCGCCTACCACCCCTACCATGGAAAGTAGACTACACTCCATTACTGGATGAAGAGCCTGTCGCTGATGATGAAGCACCACTCTGGCTCTAACTCTGACCTCGACTGCCCTGCCTATGCTAGGCCCTAGTCTCCTGCCTTGCCGTACCACCAAGAGAGAGAAGAGGGCACTCACTCTTAAAGTTCCCCACCTGACCACTCTAGAAACAACCTGCACTACCCCTCTGACTGGGACCACCGGTCTGCCCCAGCTGTGGACAATCCCTCCTAAACTGTCCCACCTATCCACAAGTATGATAGGTGGAGCTCATCTGATGAGAATGATCCCTAGCCTTACTGGCCATCGACTGCTGCCCAAAATGCTGACTCCAAGCTGGCCTAGGCCCAGATCTCCCACTACTAGAACTAGATCCACGACCTCCGAATCATCCACTACCTGCTGAACTGGAGTTGGATCCGCCCCTCTTTGATGGACCCTGACTCGGTCCACCAAAGCCAGATGTGTCCATAGGACGCCTAGCATCACCTACACTAAGCTTCTTCGACACTCTATCCGCTGTTTGAGCAAGTGCCTTCATAGTAGGATAAGTGGTGGCGGTGATCACTGCCTGAATATCCAGCCGTAAACCCTTCTCAAAGCGTCTGCACTTCTCTTCTTCAGTGGGAATCAGTTCAGGAGCAAACCGGGACAATTCATTGAACTTGTGCTCGTATTCAAACACGGACATTGACCCTTGTTTCAGATGAAGGAACTTAGATTTCTTCGCATTCCAGTATGAGTGCAAATAGAACTGTTTGTAGACACGCTGAAACTCCGCCCTAGTGACGGCGATAGGATCAGCATAACCTCTAGGGACAGTCTTCCACCAGTGATATGCATTCCCCTTCAAGAGGAAAGCCACCAATGGCACTTGGTCTCCATCAGGACACAACCACTTCAAACCCTCTCTTAATGTCGGTAAGCCAATTCTCAGCTTCAGCAGGGTCAACCCTGCTAAAGAATTCATGAGCTCCCAACTCCTTGACCCTTTTGATATATGTAGCTTCAGTGTTACGCCTCCTTTGTAGAGCCGTAGTCATAGTTCGTGTGAGATGTCAAGTACATGACGCAAGTCTAGCTCATTCTCTCCGGCTTCCTCACCGACCGGTAGAGGTGGGGGTAGAGGTGGAGATGGTGGTGAAGGTGGAATGGACTCCCTAGGCTCAGGAAAACAGGTTCTCGGTCTACCACATCAAGGAGGTATAGCTCTATATGAAAGAAAATAGAGGATTCATTAGTTTCAAGAATTGAAAGGAAGCGTGAAATTCAAAGAAAAATGAACCTAAGGCTCTGATACCAAGCTGACAGGACCCCCCCAAATTCCTTGAAATTCAGGACAAATCCTATGGTATTTCCGACATTAATCTGATGTCGGGCCCACTTACTAAAAAAGATGGGACTTTCTGCTGAAATTTCGGCAGTCTCCCTGAAAAATGGACATTTCCCAAAAAATTTCAAAATATTAAAACACATTTAATAACACTAACTAGCAGCATGCACACGATAATAACATGCACTTTACATAATAGGCATTCGGCCTTACAATTAACCCTAACATGGGCAATAACAAAGCATATCTCACGGAATTCAGTTTACAACGAAATGAAGTTTGACATAATTAAAAATATATGAAAGTTTGCCCTACACAAGCTTGGCTCAAAGTTCACGACTTGATATGGCCGCTCAATTCAAGACTATCTATTACTTGGGGAGGGGGCGGGGGGGGCGCCGCCGTTGAACAGAAAATTGTGAGTGGACAAAAACAAAGTTTCATTAGATTTGAAAACAACATAATATAACCCCCACCATTTAGAAAACAATGCTGAAAACGACATGCATTCAAAACCGACATAGCTACATATATGTATATATAGTTAAGTCAAAACCAAAGTGAAACCCATATTTCGTAATAGTATACGAAAACCATCCCATTCAAAACCTTTCCCATTTTCCCCATATTACTATCTCGAAACCTGTGCCCATTGGCACTGTGAGCGAGGAAGTATCCTCACTAGTAAACAAGAATGAAAGTATAGATACGTATATATATACATAATATATTTAATATACATATATATATATGACCACTACCAAACTTGTGTCGGGGAAACAATCCAACTAGGGGATTGTTTGACTAGACATGGAAGAATCCTTAATTGACCATGTGGCTAGGGAACAAGCTGTCGAACCGGGGACTGGACTCACCAGCATGTACAAGTCTTATGCACGCAGACTAACCCTGCTAAGAGTCTATGAAATGCCCTATCAAGGGTGCCCGGATTTCAACATATCCAAGTATCACACAATTCCAAGTATCCAATTCCAGTATTCCAAATCCGGGGAGGTACATGGGGTGGTGCTTATAGCACTCAAAACTGACATAAACCACAACCCAACTCATATTCCATAATCCCTTTCCAACAAACCCATGTACCACACACATCCAAGTATAGATAGAAATTCTCATAAATAGCACATATCCATTCAAAATATTCATAATCCACAATTATTCTAATATAATTCCAATACTTTCATAATAGTATTATATTCAATATTTATAAATAAATAATAACTCAATAGTCCGATCGACCGAACATATTGAATCCAAGAAAACGCATGTATCCACATATTAGAAAATGGAGTCGATCCAACGGTCCGAACATATTGAATCCAAGAAAACGCCTAATTTGAGGCAATCCGATCGACCATCAAATGATAACCAAATTCAAACTGAGCATACCGTCGTGCCCAGGATGACATGGAGTCATTTTAAGACCAAATGGGTCCCCCAAGCAAGGCCCACACGCCACCACATGCGCCTACAGTGCGTGGGTGTCTTGAGAAATTTCGGCAACTGAAAAATTCTCAAGTCACCCAACAATACCTATACCTACGTCATCAAAATAGCATATAGAGCAACTTTTCTTTTTGGACCATGGTCAAAAAGTGACCAGAACTTGCAGAAATTACAAATCGAAAACCAGCCAAACTTTAAGTTGTAAATCAAGTTTCACAACTCAAAAATCAATCATAATCAACCTAGCCATCAGCTAGAACACGTTGAAAGGATGAGAAAGCATACCTAGATAGACAAATTTGGTGGCAGGAATCGTCGGAACGAATGACTAAAGTTTTTGGTAAAAACCGACCGGATTTTCACTTTTTCTGGCGTTCTGTGCTGACGGCTAAGCCGGGGGAGGGGTGGGATGGAGACAGGAGGTGGAGGTGATTGTTTTGGAACTGGCCTTGTGGCTGGTGGTGGTCGGAAGCAGCGACGATGGCCCAAAATGTGGTAAGTTGATTGGCTGTCGTGCGAAGGAGAAGAAGATCGAGGCAGAGAGAGAAAGTAAAGGAAAATCTAATTTTTAAAAACCAACTTTGAAATATTTACAATTGTGCCACTTCTTCATTACAACTCTTATATAAGCGCACTACGTGTCTACGAACTCGTATCGACGCTGTAATAACCCGATCCTAAATGAATATTTAATTATTAAATTATTCAAATAAAAGTTGACTTTTTAATGGGCTTAAAGTTGATTTTTTATTCAGGAAATATTTTGAGGAATTGAGTGCCACCATTATGTAGATCGCATTGATATGAGTCTGCAGACACGTAGTTGGCTCAAATTGGGATTATAACTGTTTGGGCTTAAAATTTGGCACACCCAGTCCAAAAGATCAAAGCCCATGTTAATCCTGGGCAGCCACCAGCATTCTTTGAAATTGGACCAAAATCTTGCGAACCCAGCCCAAAATCAAGGAACCTAAAAAATCCAAAAGGGCAAACCAAGATTGATCAGATTAGCAAGAAAAGATTGGGCTTCAAAAAAACCAGCTTTTTGAAGGAGCCCACCACTAACGCAGATCAGATTAAAAATATCACAGGATTAATTAAAGCTTATTTTTTAGGAGCCCACGTGACTACCAGAAATAGAAAAGTCAACAAACTCAACTGAGTTGATTGGGAGTTAATTAAAACAGGGCAGTAGCTGGCAAACTGGGAAGGGACATCTCTGGATAATCGGAAGATCAAAATCCTCTCTTACATGTATATATATATTCATAGATATTTTCTTTATTCCAAATAGGGTGATTGTCCCAAGAGATAAGCAGGCCTTGTTATTTAAAGAAGAAGATAAGCAGAAGGGCAGAGAGTTGTTCAAACAGGAAATCAAGCTAACCATCACGGTTTGAGATCTCACAAGGGCAGTTGGGATTAGAAAGGAGTTAGGTTCTCTTTCAAAAACAGAGAAGTGACTATTGAGAGCTCGACTGCCAAAAAATTAGATAAAATTCCTTTTTCTTGTATTTTAAAATTAAAAAGATCTTTCTTAGAAAATTGCCGCCCATTATTAAAAAATTACCCTGCTCCAGAAAACATTTTTTCTATAAATAGAAGAGAGGGTGAGCAGGTTCAAAGGACTCAACAATCAATTCATCAATCAAACAAACAACCCAAATCAACCAATAAGCTTACTTGAACTCCAAGAAAAACCAGCTTTAGATCAGAATTTCCAAAGTTCAGACTTAGAAAATAAGTCATTCAAAACGAGATCTCTCTCGTTACAAATTTGGTTCAGCAAAAGCCAAAGACAAGCAGAGTTTGAGTTTTCACAAATATGAAAACCTCAACAAATTTTACAGTGCAGTTTCAGCTCACTAAATCCTCAAGAAACAGCCACTTCTGCCTAGTCAAACTGAAGAAGTCGTAATTCTGCCCGCTCAAAAGCCTCCCAAAGCTTGAAGTAGATTAAAGCTCCGCCAAAATTGAACTTTGGTATCGATTTGTAGTTGAAGCCCAGCAGTTGAAGTTGTTGACAGTCCAGTCTAGCCCAGGCATATCCAGTCCAACCTGGATTGAAGTCTTTTATCCGGAAAAAAATGGATTTCCAGCTGTCTTTTTGTCTTTCTAGTGCTAATACGCATGTTTATGGTTTTTTAAAGGGCAGTTCTGCCTAAAACAGTCCAATTTTTATCAACTATTCTGGCCAGAACAACCGATTTTATACTGAGATAAATTGTGAAAGTCATCACCAGTCTGGAGCAAGAAAAGAACTTACTTGGGAGATATTCCTCACCCAAATTCACAATCGTTTGTTTTAGAAATCAATAACTGGGGGCGCAAGTTATCTATTCTAGAAGAAATCTGCTAGAATCTTCATTGCTAGCAGTAGCACGCTCGCACACCAAAGAAAGCTGACTTGTTGACCAGTCAATGGTTTCCAAGGCAGTGGGGAACTTTGCCCTTCCATCTCAGGAGTAAACACAAAACGGGTGAACAATAACGAAGAAGTTAAGATCAACAATAGTGTAGTGGCACAACCGTAAATATTGAAAAGTCAGATTTTTTTTTAAACCCAGATTTTTTATTATTATCTCTCTCTCTCTCTCTCTCTCTCTCTCTCTCCGAGCCTCCCTCCCTTCGTGAGCAACCAGCTCATCCAACCGAAAGGGTTTTGGGCTGCCACCGCCACCTGCAGCTACCATCGAAGCCCAGAAGGATCCCAAAATGACAAGCCAGTCTCCCCCGTCCTACCCCATGCCTCCACCTCCTCCACCATGAGCTCTGGCTACCAGAAAATCAAAAAAATCCTACCAGTTTTACATGAAATTTTCAATGCTTGTTCCACCAATTCCAGCCACCAATTTCTTCGATCTAGGTATGCTTTTTCAATCCTCTCAATGTGTTCTAGCTGATGGTTGGGTTGTTTAGAATCGATTTTTACGTTTTGAAACTCAAATTATCACTTAAAGTTTTGGCCAGTTTCGGCTCGTAGTTCCGGTCATCTCCGGCCACTTTTTGGCATGGTCCAAGAACAAAAGTTGCTCCACTCATTGTCTTCATCACGTAGGTATAGGTCTTGACCAACAGCTTGGAGATTTTCCGATCGCCGAAATTACTTTGGGCACCCAAGCATTGCTGGCGCATGTGGCGACGCGTGGGCCACCTTGTCGCGAGCCTTTGAGTCCTAAAATGATCCCCATGTCATCCCAAGCACGATGGTATGCTCGGATTTGAATTTGGTTATCGTTTGAATATCACATATTAGGCCTTATCTGGGTTTGATATGTTCAGGCCATTGGATCGACTCCGTTTTCACTTATGTTGATCTAAGAACCTCTAGGATTGTGTAGGAACTCACGGATCAAGAATCGGAGACCAATGATTTAAAGCTATGTAAAACAGTAACCGTCCGATAGGGAGTGATCCGACTGCTCGATTGAGACCAAACTCTCGGGACATGTTGAGTGGACCTTGTCAGACTTATAGGAATGTTCGGATCAGAAATCGAAGGTTGTGGGGCCCGCGGGCCCAAGTGGTCAATTCTACGACCGGGGTCAATCCAACCGTTGGATCGTGATGAGACCTTTAGAATGAGCTAAACTTATAGTTATGGAAGATTATTTAATAATCACTTTTACTTTTTGAGTATTTTATATTTTGTTTAGTTGAGAAGAGTTGGGAATGGTTGTTAATCGTATTTTGGTGTGAATAATAATTAATTAAATATCTAAGTATATGTCTATATTTAATATATATACTCAGCGGTTTGAAAATGATGAATTATGGACACTAGTTCTCAACAGTATGTGGTGCAAATTTAAATGTAGTTGAGAACTGATTTTTGGAAAGTTGATCAAAGATTTGAAAATTGGATTTGTGGAATAAGGGAAATTTTATGATAAGTTTCGGAATATGGTTTTCTAACCCACCCCAGGAGTACCCTCCCCCCCTCAGTTGCCTTTGGAACAATTTAGTCATTTATGATAATACCCTACGAGTATCGAGACGCTTGAACCTTGTGGTGCGAGGATATACATTCACAGGCTAACTACATGTCCCCCTAATTCTGCGAGGATGTGCGTTCTCCCAACTACGTGTCCCCCAAGTTCTGCGAGGATATGCAATCTCGGGTTGACTACGTGTCCCCCGAATTCTATGAGGATGTAACAGACATGGTACTTGGAATTGACGGAATATTAGTGGAATTGACGGGTTATGAATAGGGGTACAACTAGGTGGAGGTATTTGAGTTTGAGATGTTTTAAACTAAAATTGATGATTTTATCTTTGTACTTATTGGTGAAGGTTTTAATACATGTTTTCCTAATTATGAGACAAGGATTGAGAGTTTTCAAAGTTTTAAGGATTTTATAATTCACAATTATTTTCTTAAGTGATGAATTTGTTTTTACATGTGAAAGAGGGAAACATGTTTTATTTAAATTGTTGATATTGACATTAAGGTTTCACGTGGTCAATGCTATTTTAATAATTTTCTCGTTTTCCTACTTATCAGTAATAAGTTAATTATATATATATATGCACATGTGGGATGAGTGGAAGATTGTTCTAACATCAATAGCCCTTGCTTGAGTTTCAGCAGATTGATTTGCAAATTACATTGAAATATAACAGTTGATAAAGATATACAAGTGCAAATATAAAAAATGAAAGAATTACGTGTGGCTTGATCTCTCGATAAGGGTATGTAGGCAACCTAAAGTTACTAGGTGCAGCCATAAGATTGAGTATGGAAAATTTTGTTCAGTTAGGTCACATTGGAACTTGTTAAAGTATTCACGTTGCTCTAAGAGTTGAGACCAGATTCAGATTGTAGAATGTTTGATTTGGTATGAAAAGGCCCAAGGCCATTCAAAGTTATTTGTCTAAATGCATGCTAAATGATTGGGATTTTTGTACATGTGAAGATTTGGGGAAATGAGCGATTTACAGGGGGGACTCGACCGAATTTTCGGCATAAGTCAAATCTTAAAAGAAATTTTGAGTCTTAGTTAGAAGGGCATTTTGGTCAAGTATGTCCGGCACCTACCAGGTGTTGGACACACACAAGGTTCGGCTCATATTCCAAAGTAGAATTTGGGTTGGGTGCTGTCAACCGCGATCTACATCATAATGCCATTCAATTCCCCAAAATCCTACCAAATTAAAAACTGACCAAAATAACCTTATCCCCGAGGGCAAAATTGTAATTTCATAATTAAGTAAATTAATTAATTTTAAATGGACAATAAAAATAGGGTCAAGGTGTCGCAATATAGTTTGCTGATTTTATAACTTTGGTCCCTATAGTTTTAATTTTGTGAGTTTTATCCTTGTAGTTTCAATTCGGAGCAATTCAAGTACACGTTTCAAATTCTATCAAATTCCTCCAATTATGTTAAGTTTTGACCACGTGCTGTCATTTAATAGTAAAACACAAGTTGGAGCTCTTCTTTTTTACTTTAAGCGTGATTTAGGGATTTAGAGTTTCGAAAAAAATTTGCATCTCTGGATTAAAATTTGGGTGAATTTGGAAGAATTTGGCTCAAGTGCATGAAATTATCCCTCTATGTGAGGTCGTGGTCAAAACTAAAAGGAATATGGAAGAATTTTAATTGAAATTGAAATATGTCCTTGAATTGCTTCAAATTGAAAACTACAAGGATAAAATTGAACCTATGGGGAGTGAAGTGGTAAATCTGGCAAACTACAAGGACCAAAATTGATTTTTGCCTTTCTTTTATTTTTTTAGTTACATGTCAGTGTTTAAAAAAAATTATTATAATAAAGTGGCCTACAAGTAAAAACAATCTTTTTTTTTTTTTTTTTTTTTTTTTTTTTTTTTTATAAAACGATCGTCTAGATTACAAGGGAGGGGGATTTTTCTCACACACACAACTATGATGTCGTGGGAATTTCAACCAGAGATCTCTGGTCTACAAGTCAATACCATTTTCCATTGGGCTAGACCTTGTTGGCCGCTAAACTTTTTTTTTTTTAAGTCATCTTTCCAGTCCAAGTCTCGAATCAATCAATGTGGTACTTAATCTTTTGATCTGCATATCAATTGGTCCTTATTATCGCATTCATCAAAACTTTCGTTAAAATTGGTCACATAACCAAGTATTTTCATCAAAATATAGCTCATCCACCAATGAGATAAAATAAAATTCACATTATTTTGCTCAATGAGGCTATCTACTAGGGTTGAGCATAATAGGTAATCTTTAAGGATCCAGGTTTAAATTTGACAAAAAAACTCTTTAAAGTTGGTCATGTGCCATCAAGTGACCAATTGTAATGAAGGTTTTGATGGACTAGACGAGAGGGACCAAATTGTTTGTGGACTTAAAATTAGGACTTTTGAAAAGTTGAGAGATAGCTCGTGATAAAACCCTATTACTTATGCACTTATCCACAAATAAATGTTATCGGCAAGAAAAATTCTACAAATAAATGTCTAGGGCAAGTATGTAATAAAATTTAGTTAAGTTCTTTAACTATTGTAGGGGTATTTTTGTTCCAGCAACCTGAAGAATGGGCTTGGGCTGCGGTAAAAAGAAAAAGAAATGAAATTCCCCAAATGTCTGAGTTCAAAACCAAGCTCCTAAAAAAGTTTTTGAAAAATCTGATAAGACTTTAGAAAAACACTCTTAGGTTCCTTTCACCAATAGTCAACTTAACATGATGAATCGATTAATGGCTTAGCTTGAGGAGCTTGTGGCATGGCAGCTGAACTTTCACAAGTTTAGCAATTTGAGAGAGAGAGAGAGAGAGAGAGAGAGAGAGAGAGAGAGAGAGAGGCATGAATTTCTTACAGACAACAAAAGTTTGAAGTGGGCAGAGGGAAATTAGAACGATTTCTTCCTTAAGGAAAGAAGAAAACGATCAAAGAAGAGGATTGGGTGGCTTGAGTAAATTTTCAGTTGCTTGACAATGCTTGGTCAAGCCTTGAATGAGTTGGTTTTCTGGGTGGCTGAGGCTCTCTTTTATAGCCACAAAGAATCCTATTCTCATCTTAACTTTTCCTATCCTTTTCCATTACTCCTTTCCACTTTATCTTCTTTGGTGAATTTCTCCTATCAAGATGCATAGGTAAGGAACCCATTTGTGGTTCCAAGGGTTTGACGCAGCTGGACCTTCCCAGAAGGGTGAGGCGCCACCTGCTTTCCTTTCAAGACGGAGCTTGCAGGGGAAAAGAGAGATGGAGGGAGTTCTTTGTCCGATGGGTATTCGTCCTTCACGCGCGGATTTCTGTTAGTTCCTGCCATTGTTCCTTGTTTTGACCGTCTTGGAGTCCTAACAAGAATGGAGCACGACACCAGATTTTCCATAAGACTTTGGGCTGGGCTTGTATACAATGTTGCGTCATTAGGGTGTTATCTCCAGTATTTAATGGGTTTTCGTCAAACTGCTGGAAGCAGCTTGCCTATTGCGTTTTTAACAAAGTATTTTGGGCATTCTAATTGACACAGGGTTTTCTAAACAAACCACTGTATTCCTTCTAAGGCACTGCGTCATATTCTCTCTCTCATGCTAGCCCATGTGTTTGGGGCCAAGAAATGGGCTTGAATTTTGGTACTCCCAAGTAGCCCAAAATTCTCATTCCTTGATCCCTAAAATGGGTCTTGTGAACGCTTGTACCTATCCACACCACAACCTTCTCAGCAAGCCCCAGGTAATTTTGTGGCTTGGACCCACTTAAGCCTGTGGCATAGCTTGGTGTTAGAACAATGGTTCTTCTTGCATGACACCTACACTTGTGCTTGAGTTTTATTATGCCGTGATAAGCTATAATCGGACCAAGTAACACCAAATATGCATGTGAGCGTGATTTTATAAAGTTGGCATGCTCTTGGCCCTTGTGCATGTGCTTGCTTGGCATGATGTGTGGCTCGTGGCTTGTATTGGTGTGTCCTACAAATTCTCTTTTGTCCCAATTGAACTCCTTTTGTGTTCAATTATCTGTGTTGGGCCAATAATTAGTCTGGGCTTAGTCTCTTGGATTTTTGGGCCTCAACAATTATGTTGGTTGGGAAAGAAAAAAAAAAAAAAAAAAAAAAAAAAAAAGTTATTTTTGTGTAGTAGGAACATTTGGTAGCACCTCCCAAGTAGACTTTGAATGTAGCGCAATAGCTTTCTCTGAAAGGGGCTCGCTTCTTCAAGCTCCGCACAACCTATACAAGGTGCTGCTCGCTTTCTCTCAGCCACTAGTGGCTTATGTAGTGGCTTCGCGCTCCTCTACAAGTAAATGAATAAGAGCTCATTTGAGAGTGATTTTGAGATGACCATAATCACTTATGGGGAGAAGCACCTCCCACCTATTTCTCCATATAATCATTTGAATTTATTGTAGGGTGCTTCTCCATAAAATTACTTAAAATCACTTAAAGTGATTATATGAATAAGTAATTCTCCATAAAAGTGATTATTGATCTATTCAGAATCACTCCCAAACGAGCCCTAAATAATATAATAGAAAAAATAGACAACCAATTCCCCCAAATTTTCTTTTGCCCTCACTTTTGCTCACTCCTTGTGTACTATTCAGCATACGTGCTCTTTTTTTAATCTGCAGAACGTTTGAGAGACGCTACGGCTAGAATTTGGTTTGCAGCAAATTAGGGAAATAACCAACCACTTTCTTGCTCTCTGCAGGCAAACCCTTAACACCTAAGGTTTATCAAGCCCTCTTGAACTTAGATCAATTCTCCTTCTGTGCAGCCATCGATGCCTTGCTCTCTTGTAGTGGTTAATTTGTTCAAAATCAAGTCTTAAAAATCATCAAATCTAGTCCTTTCTTATAAACAGATCGGGTCAGATAAACTCATGTGCACCCTTACGTTCTGTTCATTAGTTCACAAGGAATTAACCTTTCATGCACAGTATATAGGTCGATAAGCCGATGAGGGAAGCAAGAGTATCTTCAGGGAGTGGCTCAAGAAATATGAAAATGAACGAATCACATGGCCAGGAATTCTAGACTATAAATATCAATTCGGATATATGTGTAAGACTTGCTAAAGACGTGCTCAAGTAGAATGCATTTACTCAATGACCTTATCTGAGCCTAATCGAATGCATGCAAATAGGAGAAAGGAATAATGCACTAATTCTTTTCCCATACAATGAACAATATGATGTTAAAATACTTCATTTTGAACATATGTAGCTGATCAATCTCCTGTGCAGGACTAGGTGCGGAAACTAAGCCTTCAAGAAATAAAATGAGAGTAAAGAAAATGACGTCTTCAAGTTGTCCAGGGCACAATTCAGTCCACATTCAAATTTGGACACCATTGCTTTCTATCCGATTGCAGAAATTCCCTGAAGCATCAGTCGATGCCCAGCAGTGAGAATGTGATCAAGATTGTCGCTTTTGCTCATCTTCTTCATCATCAGAGTCGCCACTCTCACGAAACCGTGGATTTTTCTCCTGTTGGAGAAAATAGATTGTGCAACATAAGGGAATGAATAGAAAATGAAAGATAAAATTAAAATTAAAATAAGAAAAGCTCATGTCATTTCTTCTTCTCTTAAACAAAAGGTAAGTTTGTCCTGTCCTATGTTCTTGTAGGACATCTAACCAGTAAATAGTACAATTGCCACCTTGTTGTCATTGCAATCAAAAAGGAGGAAAGAGGAACATCATTGAAAATTTAACCTGACACTCTTTCAGCCACAGAGATGACATCGCATACTAACAGGTTGGCAATTCAAACATTTAAAAATTAAGAGGATGCAAGAAGAATTGGGACAAGAATTGTTAGAATTACTGGTCTAGATTCGTGATCAGAGTTCTTTCGGGATTCATAATCCGAGTTTCTCTTTGAGCTCTCATATGAGTGGCGGTCATCATCTCGATGTCGTTTCCGCTGATAGTCACCTTTGCCAAATAAGTTTCAAATTAAATCAGTTGTAAAAAAAGAAAAATGTAAACAACAAACTGGGCTGAAACAGCTACACCAATCATAGAAATGTTTTTAACGATAGATACCTCTACCAGGCCGATGAGTACCCCCATGATTATGGCCTCCACCATGTCTACCATCTGAATGATTAAAAAGTCAACAAAAAAACCAAAAAAAATCAGAGAGGAACTGTCATGTATATTAGACTAAACTCTAGTTCACCATGGCAAACAGTTAATTGCAGCATCTCTACAGGCTCATTAATAAAAGCCCTGTCGTCCGTATAGAAAGTTGCACTCATTCCCAATTCTGCATATGAGGCCAATGTGTACGTTTTCCAGCACTAAATTGTACTTCAAATTAATATTCAACAATAGGAAAATTTAAATACACATAGAAGATGGACAGAAGGAAAGTTTCTTCGAACAATAATTTTGTTGCCTATTCAAATTTGTCAGATAAGAATCACTAAAATGCCAGAAAAATGAGATATAATTGAGTGACATTTCAATCACGTGTACACTAGTGGAAAGACAATAACTGAGGTGACTTTTTAATAACTAAAGTGGCCATGCCCAGATTATTCTAATCAATAGCTGTTGTAAAGACAACCTGGGGGCCTTGCCTATTCCTATAAGCTCACAACACAATGCAAAGTTGGTTGACCTAAAATTGTTCCTAGTCATTTCAGCTTATAAAGCTATGAAATTTCCCCTCATATCCTACTTCCACTTTCCATCTAGATGCTTTGCGAAGGATGCAGTTGTGAAAACCAACCCAGAAAACCCTAATGCAATGACATATGCAGAGACAAATAATCCAGAAAATAAGCCAAATCTCTTGAACTACACAAACTGTTTCTGAGTAACTTACAGTGAGGTGGCATGACTGGAGGGAAAGTGCCCAAAGATCCAGTACCATAATCTACTAGCGTTCTCTGAGCTTCTAACTCTCGTTGAACTAATTTACCATATCCACCTCTGCGTATAACATGTTAAGGAAACTAAAGAGCAAAGCTTTTTCATCTCATATTCAACAATGTAGAATAAAATCCATCAACCATTCTGTTTTTTGACAGCAATGTTCTTTCTTTAAATTGAAAACATTTCACATTCAAGAGAAACACCACAAGAACCGGATCGACTTTAAATTTTATTGCAAAAGCACATTCTAGGAATAAATTCTCATAAGAAAGAGGTGATATAATCAGACTAAAAGACAGATCAAAGTTGAAGCTGGAAATAGCTAATCATTTATATCCTCTTTCTGCAACTCTAACGAAATGGGATCAATAGATTCAACTCCTACTTGGGTGGTAATGAAAACAATATGCAGAAAATCTTTTTAAAAAATAAAATAAGAGAACATCTGCTAGAGAAAACATTAAGAAAAGCATAAGGCAGAGGTATAAACTTGATATCCATCAATGAAAGTAAAAGTGACCAAAAGGTAAATAAGAATAAAGAATGCTGAGCAAGAACTGGAGATGGTTTCGACCAAGATGAAAAGACGCCGATGGTAGCACAGTAGTGCCATTAAGTACCAAATGATGAACTAATATCTGTCCCATTCATAATCTAAAACTGGCCTCTTGACACGCACGAGAGCGTGTGCCATGTCTCACTCTCGCGTGTGCCATGGGCTTTTTCTATTGGATGTGCATCAATTTTTTAATCAATCATTAAATTACTATCAAGGTAATACATTTATAAATGCAACAGTAACTCCACTAATGTGCAGAACAAAAGCACAAACAATATTACCATGCAGATCTTGGAAGTGGTTTCTGTTTAGAATACTCAACATAACCTTGTAAAAAGGTTCATCCTCATCCCAGTAACCAATAAGACAAATTTCTTATGAGTCATGCGTGCCATTAATGATAGAAAAGAAGTGGCTCATATAAGAGGGGAGAGGAGAATACAGGGCCCCATCATCCTTCATATCTTAGAAGAGGAGAGCATGTTTAATTTTGTAACAGAAGAGGGTAGAGGAAAAAAATTATGGAGAGATAAAAAGGTGAAGTTGTAAATATAAAGCTTCAGTTTGATAAAAAATTAGAAATTGAGCTAGTGGGGTGTTATCTGTTAACCAAAACTAAAGTTGATGTGTTTTTTATTTTTTCCCCTTAATTGTGTTTAGTTATTTATTTTACCAATTTCCCCCGAATTATATTAAATTGTTTTCTATAGAGTTTTAGTTATCAAAGGGTACTTGATGGGATTTTAAATGTTTTGCCTTTTGGCTTCTCCCTTTATATATATAGGTGAAGTAGGTAGAGCTTCACAGGAAAGAACAACCGACAAGAATTTATCTATCCACTTTTTAGGCTCTAAGTAGAACATACAACCTTACACAGTTCCAAAGCACATACAATCTACTCTACCTACCACTCCTTATAATTCCCAATTTTGTGAAACAGAAACCCTGGTATCAAATGAACTTAAATATAAATTGAATGCAAAGACAAGCAAATATATAATTTTAAAACGGATTCTCTATCTAGAATTTCCAGAAAAAGTAAAAAGAAAGAAGCTAGGACTCCCTTTTAACCTCAGGGGAATACCATAATTTATTGACCATGCTGAAGAAAGCTTTTCCATATATTGAAATCAAAAGGATATCAGGATCATAATCAGTACGATATTCATCGCGCACCTGTAAAACAGAAAAAGAGATTAAATCAAAACAATCAGAATGGTACATTTTGGCCAATTACAGGAAGGCACAGTAATGCACCTGTCCACCACTTCGCCCTCGACCCCATTGCCTTCCTTCTTGGAATCCCCAATCAAAATCCACACGAATAGGACGATCATCAAGAATAGTCCCGCTAATATATTTTACAGCATCCTCAGTGTCCTCTCGAGAGTAGTATCTGTTAACAAATGCATGTAAATTAAGAATCTAATTCTCAAAAGAAAAATATGTAACTTTTACTATTCTCAAGATACAAGACCAATTTACAAGCTACGCATATCTTGAAAAAGAACACTAAGAAATGATAAACAACTGAAACATAATAGAATCAATTTTAAGTATAAAACATGAAGAACTTCTCCTGATAAATCAAAAGATAAAACAATTTGGTGCAGGTACAATGTGCATTGCTACAATATACAATCATTGTGACTTGCCAGCCATAGTTTAAGCAACAGCATGAATGGAAAGTGGTGCACTCCCTCTCTTTACTTGAACAATCAGATCCAAAAGAAGTACTTATGTCCCACACATTTAAATAAGATTGACTTGTCTGAAAATTTCAAGACAGAAAGAGAAGGGATATATGCCTTTCATTTATCTCAAAACATGAAACTCAAGAAAATGTGCAAATGTTCTCCGTCAAAATTAAACAAGCCATATCATATTCAAAGCATCTCAAGAGTCAGAATGCATATACAGTCCTACAGCAGAGAAGACTCAGTGGCGAAAACAATCAGCAATAAAGACAGTTACATGTATATATGCGTACAATTTTGATTTGCTATTGACCAATGAGCATGATCTTCATGCTGACCAACTGTCAGATAAAACCCGTGCCCAATATTCAGATCCTGATAAAGTATTTTCTTATCAGGATGAATGTCAGAAATTCGAATTTGATCCAATGGTTGGGGAGCATGAATATTTGTGCTCAGCAGTAGGTAGGAGATTGCCACAGTATAAATAGTACTTCAACATAAGGTGATATGTGAGGTAAATGAAGCCAATCAGTTTGACTCTACCCACTAAACTGTTTCCCTTCAAAGAAGTTAAAAATATGAAGAATGAAGCTTACAGGACAAAACAAAAACCACAAGGCGTTTTGGTATTTTTATCCAAGCCCATAATTATCTTCTTAATCTCTCCAGCACGAGAAAAAAGCTCATAAACTTGCTCTTCTGTTGTGTAGAATGACATATTCCCAATATAAACAGTCGTTGATGCCAGGAGTGCTTGTTCAAAGTCCTCCTGTGATCCAGGAAATCTTCTATCCCGATATTGTGAAAGCTTCGATTGATCCTAATGAAAAAAGAAAACGATGAAAGATGAGGTAAGTGCAGAGAGGAATAACACAGTTATAAAATGCATGTTGGATCACAAAGGATAAGCTGTATTTTCATCAGTATTTCAAAGTGAGACTTGAAGTACCATACAATAATCTGGCAAACTTAACAAATGCATAGATGTACAATATGGCCACTGGAGTTCCCTTTTTTTCTATAATAGAAACGTTTATGAAAATAGAGTAAAATGAATCTAAGAAATCATAATGAAAAAAACCCACTCAGTTCTAAAAAACAATTCATGGCACATGTACAGGGTACTTGAACAAGAAATAAACAAATCTTGTTAAGTAATTACTATGAACAAATCTTTTTAAACATTTTCCAGAACTTCTCTAGCATTCACACATTTGATTGATTTGAACCAAATCAAAAACCCACAGCTTTTATACGACGACATCTTTTTAAGAAAAGAAAAAGGCAGCTGCATGACCATGTAGCATAAAATGGAAACACCAATATATTTGGCTCAACAACAAAGAAAAGAGAAGATAGAACTTAAACATTCCCTTTTGCGCTGTCTAGTTCTCAAATAGAAGAAAATAAAAGGGGTGGGGGCTTAACTTCTAATTTCCATCTCTCACCCACCATGAGTTTCTTTTCTTTTCTTCTCTTCTCGTAATGTTATCTCCAGCCCTCATATTACCAAAATGGAATATTATACACCTTCCTCCTCTTCATTTATATTTATTGAAAGTTTACATTGCAAACTGAAAAGAAAAACCTAGCGCACTGACTTGGATTTTTCACTCCATCAGACAGAAACTTGACACTAGTACTAAATTAAAGTCCAAGTTGAGAAGAAGATCAATAAAATCCAAGCCTACTTTACCTTGAATAAAGAAGCCATCACCGTCTGCAACTGAAGGCAAATCAATAAAGTAAAAGTTGGAGAATAATTTCCTGAGTTTTATCAAATCTGCACCAGAAACGGAAACCCACAACATCAATAGAATGGAGAAAGCCAACAAAATAGGATATTGAATGAAAAATACAAAACAGTCTAGCACCCAATATATATATATATATATATATAACATTCTGTAAAACAATTGCATGAATGGTGTTATTTCAAGCTTGTTCCTTGAAACCCATTTATTAGAAATACTTCATTGAAGCAATTTAAACCATTTGATGTCACAGTAATCAAGTAAAATTGCAGTGCATGAGAATATGGATTTGCACATAAAATTAGCTACAATGCCACACACCAAATTACCTAGCTGCATAAAAATTGCCTTCAACCCTAAAACACTAGACCAGAAGACACCAGATTTAAGAACAACCATAGCTTTACAGAAGCTAGAGAGAGTGAGAGAGAGAGAGTACCAGGGAGGCAGCTTTGGCCCTGGTGGAAGCGAGAATGGGGCTTTTGTTTTTCTTTCGGAGCGAGCGAGAGTGGTTTCGAAGCGTATTTTTCACCTTTCAGCTTCCGGTTCGAACCGGGTCACATAATCGGATCCTATACCCGCTTCGTTTTTTTGTTTTTTGTTTTGTTTTTTTTTCTTTTCCTCCAAAACCCTAAAGCCAAAGCTATTTCCTTTCAAAAACTTAAAACCCTGTAAGCTGAGAAATGAGAATGGCCACCTCAGCAGCCGCAAGATCCATTTTCCGCTCCTGCGCCTCCCGCAGCTGCGGCTCGGCGGCGCGGCTCGCCTCTGAATCCAAAGCCGCTCGCTCCCCGTTTCGTATGGCAGGCAAGCGACCTTCCTCTTCTCCCGCGCTTAGGTAAGTATACGTATATATGTATATGTGTGTGTATATATATATATATATGCCCCTTAATTTTCCCTCATTTTCTTTGCAACCAAACAGAATGTTCAAGTTACACGGTTGCCAAATTTGCCATTCAAATTACGTTGTAATACTTTGATTGTAAAAAATTTGGAATTTGTTTGTGTTTGTTGAAGGTCTCCCGTTGAATTGAGCTTCTGTGTGGAGTCAATGCTGCCCTACCACACAGCAACAGCATCGGCTTTGATGACTTCGATGCTCTCCATCACTCGCCGCAGTTATGGTTGGCTTCCAGAAGGTACTCTCTCAGCAATCTGTTTGTATTTGCTCGTACTCTCAAGTGGCTCTTTGTATTTAGTGAATTTGTTTGCTTTTGTGATGGAATGAGTGGCTGTTGGCTTTATGAACGTTTGCTTGTGTCCTATTTATGTTCTTTGCTAGTGACTGCTTTTGTGCTTGTTTGAGTTCTAATTTCAGTGTCAAAGAACTGTTTCGAGCAATAGGTTTCAGTGTCAAAGTACTTTTTCGTGCATTAAGAATGGAATAGACTAAGTTTTATCTTTCTGTTTGTTCCGTTAAAGTAATGGAATAGCAGTGAGTATTCCGTTCCAATGTTTGTGTTTCTAAAGAAATGATAGGTCTGAAACCAAATTTGAATGCTTCCCAATAAGCCCTTATACATGTAAAAGTTAGTGTGGATATTAATAGTATTCATTGCATATTTTTAAGATCAATGAAAATATCTCACTTTTGTTTTTCGTTTTCTTTCTGTGGGAAAGGTGATTTGTTTGTACATAAGCACATGCATATGTATACGTACATGTGTGTGTGTGTATATAAATATATATTTTATATTCAAATGTCCTTTTTTGAACCCTTGTGATGTCTTTCTTTTTTGCCACTTTTTATTTGCTTAGTAAAATTAACAAAAGAGCGAATGACTCAACCAAATTGGACTATTTCCTCTATCATTATGCAATGTCTGCATCCACACTGATTTTTCTTTTGCTCCTTACTCCTCCTCCTGCTAGGATTGGTGAGATTTGCATATTTCTCATGACAAGCTGCCTTGTTTCATTATGTTCAACAAAAAAGTAGTTTTGTTTGTTGGCTGCCTAACCGATGGGTTTTTATTCTTGAATTAGGTATCTAGCGAACATTTGTAGGGTCCCTTGATGTCGTTTTCTTCCTTCTAATTTTCTGGTAAGGTAGTGGCTATTTATGTTGGGTTCAGATATTGGATGCTTCAATTTTGAAATGTCATCACAGAGCCATATCATGTGTCTGTTTTGATACAAGATGTGGGAAAAATAAGTTTTATGGTCATTAACTTACGCAAATGAATTTGTTAGGTACTAATAGCTGAATTTGGTGGTTTTGGTTTATGGGCTATCTCTCTGCTTCTTTTAGTTCACTTTTTGTCTTAATAATTAAGTCAATGTCCCTTCTCGTACTCCTTATTTGAAAGGTGCAAAAATACCTCTGTTTGTTGTTGTAGGCCAAGACAGATGAAGATCAAGAAGCGATGTTGGAGTAACTTTGATTTTAAATTTCAAGCTTTTAAATATCTAAGGGGGCTATGTTCCTAAAAGATTGGAGAACATTTATGTTCTTTAAATTTGTAAACTTTGTTTTTATAAAAACGTTTATAAGAGTCCATTAGATGTGTTGAATTCTTTGATATTATCTCATGGCAATTTCTAGGAAGACATGGAACATTTTTTATGATGGCTATTTCAGTGGTATTTAGAAATAGTCTTTGTATGTTTTGAATGTTTGGAGGTTTTTATTAAATATGATTGAATCATGAATAGTTGAAGAGAGTATAAACTGTATCTTGTTTGTTGTTAAAACAATTTATAATAAAATAGGTCCCCAAGTACAGATGTCTTCTCTGCTGTTCTCGTTACTTTTCCTTTGTCAGCTGTCCTCATCTCTCTTAACTAAAATCCCAAATTCAAGGTTGACACCTATAGTAGTTTATGAATATTTTACATGTTTAGTGGAATTTAGAAATGTTTAAACCACGATGATCATAAAGTTGGTGACTGATCATTTTTATTTGATCAGCTTGCAATGATGATGTGTGATGATTGTTCCAAGGAGTCAAGGAAGTTTTATGTACTTAGTTCTTCAGTCTAAGGCAGTGACTGCTGGTAATATAAGAGTTTTGAATGAGCAGCAGAAGAGATAAGTTGCATCTCCTGAGCTTTTAAACATAGATGAACTGGTAGACTTGGTTACTTTTGTCCAAGGAATAAAGACAATTTCCTTTTTCCTTTTCTGGTTCTCTCTTTTGTGATGCTCATTGTGTAGCTCATAGACTTAAAAGTGGTAATCTGCATTGTTGAATATTTTTATTTTTTTTCCCTTTTCCTTGATGTCAATGACCGGAGAGTCATACTTATATTGTTTTCAATCAGCTTGCAACAACGATGCATGATCAATTTCCAGTGAGTTCAGTAGAAGTTTTGTTCAAGATTCTAGCACTTGAAGAGAATGATGACTTGGAAGCTTTAACTGCATGCTTACTGGACAAATCTGTTCTGAAGTAAACCTTTTCAGTGTTTTATTTTCTTCATTTTGATTACCTTCAGAACTTTAAATGTAAAAACTCTATGACTACATAGTCAAAGATGAATATCATCTACCCTGCATGTTACTGTTCTGTTATCCTATTTGAATCCTTTATAGCTATTTGTCTCTCTCTTTTTAGCTTCATTTTTTTTCTTCTCTTTTTTGAAGAAAAATCATTTCATTTGTGGCAGCAAGGCATTATACCTTCTATATGAAGTAAGAAAAGTAGCTTCTGCCTGGTAAAGCATTATGCTCTTCCAGTGCAGTTAGTCGAAGAGCTATTGCTTGGCAATCCTTTTCTAGGTCTCTTTTACCAAGCTTGCAGGCAATTAGAGAAGAATCCACTTTTGTGTTTGGGTATATGCTCGATTCATAAAAAAATTGTGTGCTTCATTTCTTAGTATTAGTTTGTGGTTACATTGGACGAATGCTAGCGAGCTTTGTATCGTGTTTTACTCAGACCAAACTTGGACTTCGTAATACTTGATCAAGTACAGTCAAGATTGAGTTTGCAAGCATCTTGGTTCATACATGATCCATGCTTTGTGGCCAAATCATATATGCTACATAGAAGTTGATAGGGGCTATGTGATTTCACTTTCCAAATTTGCCTCTTCTTTTATGGTTTTTCCACAGCCCTCCAAAATTTCCCAAGTAGCTGACATGTTTATTCTTCTTCCTTTTCAATCTGTGCGCAGATTCTTGAGGAATGCAGATCCATCCCCTCAAGACGTTGACCTCCAAAGAGCCATAAACAGTGTTTCCGGCCCTGAGCTTACATTTCATTTGGTCACCTTTTGTAATAGAGCATCAAACAGCCAATCCTCATCACACATCATATTGTTTTTCCCTCCTAAGTAGTTCCTCTGGAATTTGTGGTTAGTGAGAGTAGTCAATGAGATAATACTCATCTAAGTTGATTGCTACCATTGTGGCCTGCACTATTTGCACACTAGAGCAAAAGTTTGAACTGACCACATGATGTGCCAAACTAATGTGTGTTCTTTTGGCCAGATGTGATTTAATTATTTTCTTTTGAAAAATGGAACTTTAAAATACCAATCTTCAACCTTAGAGTACTCCCAGCAGTTTGCCCCTTGTCATGGCAAGGGGGGGCTAGGGCAGCTACTATTCACGTGAATAGTGACTGCCCTTGCCATATTAAGCAATGTGTGTTTCCAGCAATTGCTCTTTGTCATGGCAAATACTATTCATTTGTTTGTTTTTTTCACAATTTTTTTTTACCTAAACAATTAATTTAGATAATATTTTTGGATAATATTTTATTTTATTAGTTGTATTTTATTTTATTAGTTGTATTGGTTGGTATTTATAGAAGAAAAAAATGTATGAGGATTTGGTGTTAAAAGTGAAGAGTATTGGTTGGTATTTATAGACACTGGTGGACCCATAATTTTTTTAGCAAAAGTGCAATATTGACTAAGTATGAAAAATGGTTTTTCGGAATAATCATTTTCTCAAAATAGTTTTTGGCGGCTTTTATTCTTTACACATCAAATAAGAAAACTTGATTTTATGGGATTTTAGTATGAAGTATATATTGACTTAATGAGCCATCATTTCTAGCATAAATCGTATTTTGCACTAAAATTGATTTTTCATATTTTGATTTTCTAGTATTTTTATTTGAATCCAAATGGAGGGTACTTCCTTATTTATATTGTAAACTTAAGTAAATGGAGTAATATAAAAATAAATGAAAGTAAAAGGACAAAGACATTTTTTTATTGCACAAAAATTGGATGCCGTTGGATTGTTGGAAAAAATCTTATCGAAGAGCCCAACGCATGCCACGTGGAAGAGGGCATTGTAGCGGCACGCTGACGTTAGCCTTGCCCTCAGACTAGCCCAGTCTGTTGGGTCCCACCATCTACCCGGGCTTGCTTTTGTTGCTGGAAACCACTTTTTGGCCCAAACACAACCACCCCCCCCCCAGCCCGAGTCCAGCCTTATCTACTGGAAATGCTCTTAGGCCTTCCCTTCTTACCCTCTTCCTCTCACTTTTGGCCGCCATTCTTTTTTCTCATCTCCGCCATGATCAGTTTTCCATCGGCCTAGCACCATTCAATTTATTTAATTTTGAGGTGCCAACGCATACATTCTTGGATGAGAACAAGTTATTGAATGGTTGAAATCTTTGGTGTTGTCAACTGGTTTTTGTTCCCCTTAAATTAATCGAATAAAGTCGAAGATTTGTTAGACATTTTCCCCTTCGAGTTTACAAATTCAATGTAGCTTCTTGTTATTCCAAGCACTGTAAACCTATGAATATTTTAGCGGAGGTGCAATTTTGGTCAGGATTTATTAAAATATTTATAAAAAAAACAAGCTCACTGTACAATAAAGAGTGGCGGATCTATGAATTTTCATTTCGGGATGTCAACGTGTAAAAGGTTAAAAAATTTTCTATACAAAATAGACTCATCGAAATGAAATGATATTATTCTAATTCATAGTTAATAAATAAAACCATACAAAATACTCATGTTCATTATCAAAGAGAATTGCATCAATTTCAAAAAAATAGACGCACACTGCAATAAACCAGAAATATCTCTAAGAATGTGATAATAAACCAAAAATTAGCGTAATCCTCTTCGCCTCCCAAGGTGTCTCGTCCTATTCGACATAAGAGCTGGCATATATTAGCGCAATCCTACTCATTTTAGGGCATTTACGTCATTTTTGAGGTTCGTCATCATTTTGATTTTGGCCTTTATCTACATTTCTTTTGGACTCTAGCTCTCAAACTTTGGACCCTTATGAGTACTGTCTTAGAGGGAGCTTATTCAAGCAAATATTTCTTCAATACGTAAGAGTTAGGTTATTCTTTTAAAACTCTTTGTGAATTGAACATCTAATGTTTTTTTTACCTAGATTGACCTTAGGTTCCTTCATGCATTCATATCATACATGAAAAATTGTTTCACATAAAAATATTGGCTAAGTATGAAAATGGTTTTTCGGAATAATCATTTTCTCAATATAATTTTTGATAGCTTTTATTCTTTACACATCAAATAAGAAAACATCATTTTATGGGATTTTAGTATGAAGTATATATTGACTTAATGAGCCATCATTTTTAGCCTAAATTGTATTTTGCACTAAAACAGATTTTTCATATTTTGATTTGGTGGGAATTTTATTTTTTAGTATTTTTATTTGAATCCAAATGGGGGGTACTTCCGTATTTACATTGTAAACTTAAGTAAATAGAATAATATAAAAATAAATGAAAATAAAAGGACAAAGACATTTACTTAAATGCTAAAAATGGAATAAAATGCTGAAAATGGAACAAGGTAGCTACGCAACACAGCGCACAGCAAAGCAATACAGCACACTGCAACGCAACACACTGACTTCGTTTAGGCTTTTCGTTGAACACCTAGAGTACACCCCCCAGGCTGAGTAGAAGTGCAAATTGCAGCACCTATAATGGATTTTCCAGCAAGAAGAGGGTGCAAATTGCAGCACCTATAATGGTTTTTTCCGGCAAGAAGAGGTGCAAATGCACCTCCTTGCACCTTAATAGGTCCGCCACTATTTCCAAATGTTGATGGTGTTGTATTCTTGATTCTCAATAAATAAATAATAATAAAAAAGAGTTTTGAATCCAACTTATTGATTTGTTTTAGTCTATAGCTATATAATCGCGGGATCAGCTGAGAAAACCTCATCGCCTCCCTCTCTAACTCGTTGGATATACAGTTGCCCTCTCTAACTCGTTGGGTATACAGTAGTTGGTTTATCAAGCTACATGCAATTTATAATTTTATCAGATCAATTCGTATGTATATTTTTCGCTCGCCCATGCCTTCAACCAATCACCGCACCATTTGATAGAGAAATTGGTATCATGATTCATAACAATCAAGAAATGAGTGTTTAAGCCGATGAAACACTTGTTGCAAGAGCAACGCTATTATCATTCATTACTTTCAAGCTCGTAAGAACCAAATCACCATAACAATCCCGAAAACGGTGCTAGTTACAGAAAGAAATCTAGAGTCATCAGTCGCCTCTGAAGAGAAACCCACATCATTCATGGCTGTTCGTCGCCACGGGTGAAGTGTAGAGAAGGGAGAACAAGAATGGCAAGAAGGGCATGAATTAGAGCGCTTTGAATCACATATGCACATGTCAACTTAGTGACTAAATTTGACCAAAAAATACTTAGTGATTAATTTGACATATTAAACTTAAGCTTGCTCTGGAAATTGATACCACTAGTTGATATAACTGTGGAGTACTTCCACAGATTTCAAATCAATCCCAAACATGACGCAGTTTAAGTTTAGTCAAAACAATAGAATAGGTTTTGGCATAAAAAAAACAACAGAAAAGGTGAAATCTTTTTCTTTTTTGGGTGTAAAATCAAAATACAACAGCAACCATAGCAAGCGATTGACCAAAACAGAAAACTACCACACAGTAAGAGTCACAAAAGAAATAATGTACAAAATGCATGATCATATTGAGTACGATCTAAGACCATAAACTCTTGCGTTCCATATTCCAAGTCTAGCAACGTCTAGTTCTTCCAAATCATATTATATCACCGTCTGAAACTCACTTAGGTTAACTAAACACAGCAATATCAAGACTCAAACTAAACACATTAGTTGCATCCTACTAACAGTTATGGTTAGGAACACAGATAATTCATTAGTATCCACTCCCACAATATACCCATCGGTCACTCTTCAACGTTAACCAATTCGTACTCAACGAGAGACAGATTGTTTTCCTCTTTAACTTGGAAGTTAGCTGGTTCAGTGACTTCAACACGTCCCCATTTGTCAACTGCTAGCCTCATAGTTCCCTTGAACATATCAATCTTCGCATTACGCAGGATCACAGTAGTGTCCGGCTTCATTGTGTCAACTGCACGTATAAATTTTAACTTCATCATTTACACATAATGCAAATCAACAATCCTCCGAGAACCAAAAAGGCTAGCGACAACAGGCATGGAACATATCAAGTAGTGCCAGGCTTCTTTCATTTATCAACCAAAGGCATTAACACACAAATGCAAGACCCTAAGAACAGAGAAGGGATACCATCTAACAATATTTGGATACCGCCTTCGCTGTTCTATGTGGATGGAGAATAAATACAGAAGACAAAACTATCAAAACGGAGTTGAATCACAACTTAGACCAAATAATAGCCCATTGAAGACAGGCATATTTATTTATCTGATTGTACACAAATAGCAGAATTAAAGATCATAGTTTGGTCTCCAAACAAAGAAAAACATTACGCAAAGCAGAAATTCACTTACAATCAACTAAAACATGGGCTAAAAATTAACCCCAATCCGCTGTTTTCAATTCTCCTCAAAACAAACAGTTAAACACACTTCAAACCCTATCAAAACCCATTCAAACCAACAACCCAAATCTACAGAACACATATACCATATATTCACAAATAATTACTTATTTAATTAAATAATTCGTGTATTAATTCATCTATAAGCTAACAATCATGAATTATATACCTTGGTCATTGCGAGCGGTGAAGAGAATGGTCCCAGTCTCATCACCAACGAGGCACTCGGCGATACGAGAGGGCTGGAGAGGGCGAGACGAGAACGATGGTCGGCCGCCGTTCTTGTTGGTCACCTTGACCGGCTTCGAGCTCACCACCTTCACCGTGAGGGTGTGGCCGCTCGTGTTTGGCTGCAGTTGGTCCACCTTTACGAACACCGGCTTTCTCTTCGCCGTCACAGTCCCTGAACCGCTCGCTGTCGCCGTCTCCATTGTTCGAAGCTCGAGTTCCGAAAGCCCTAGCTCCAATTTGTAATTTGTTAAACCCTAACCCTAGGTTCAATTTGGAAGTACTCTGGGGGATTCTGGGGTTGGACTTTGATTGACTACTAGCGGCCCAAGGCTGGGTATTAAAACCGCTAAACTCAAAAAACCCCGACCGAATTGGACCGGTTTTTTTTTCTTTATTTTATTTTTATAAATAAAAGCGTTATTGGAGAAGGGGTAATCAAACATTATCTGCGAAGTTATGTCAGTGCCAAACCCAACGCGTGGGCCACTTGGCTTTCTTGGGCTGAGTGGTGGTATAACTCCACTTTCCAGTCCGCCATTTAGATGACCCCTTTTGAGGCCATTTATGGATAATCCCTTTCCCACTATTTCAACTTACTTACCTAGTTCTTCCCCTGTTTACTTGGTTGACACTACTTTGTGTGATCGTGATGCATTGCTTCGTCGCTTGAAGGAGAACCTTTAGTTGGCTCAGGTTGGTGATTGGGTCTTCCTTCGCCTCCAGCCACATCGCCAGACTTTTGTGAGCAAGAACCATTGCCCCAAACTAGCCCCTCGTTATTACGGGCCTTATTAGATTATGGCTCGTGTGGGTAAGGTGGCATATACTCTGGCACTTCCTCCTCATTCTCGTATTCATCCCACTTTCCATGTTTCTCTCTTGAAACCTAAGGTGGGCGCTCATGTCATTCCATCTACCACACTCCCACCCATGTCTGCAACTGGGGAAATTGTCTAGACACCCGAACAGATTTTGCAACGCGAAATTTGCACCCGTAACAACATTGATGTGAAGCATTGGATTATCAAATGGCTGGGTCTTCCAACCCATGACGCCACTTGGGAAGATGTCGCTACCATTCAAGACCTCTTCCCTAACTTTTCAGCCTAAGGTCATGTCGTATTTTAAAGGGGGAGGAATGTTACACTCTTGGATTGGGCTCACACTGGGCTCATATATTAGAATATTATCTGATATCTATATTGTAATTTCCAATTATTGTAAGGAAATTTGCTAGAAGTGCTGACGTCACATACTCACACTTTCTCCATTTCAAGTTGTATTAAAACTCTCTTCATTTCCATTTGGAAGGCATGAATGAAAAAGAATCCTTTACAATTTGTTTTTCTGTGTCTTTTCTTCCTTTTTACTCTCTGGTCCTAACAAGCCTAGTGGTTTTCCCTCCCCTTTATCACCTAGTTGGCCTGGGTTTGAAACTTCCTTTTTTTTAAATAAAAAAAAAAAAAAAAAAAAAAAAAAAAAACATAATTTTTATCACAAATGGTCCCTAAGGTTTGCCAAATTATCACATTTGGTCCTTTATGTTTTTTTTTCTGAAATTATTGGTCCCTTATGTTATATCTCACACATCAATTTGGTCTTGCTGTCACATTCCATCAAAAAATTTCATTAGATTGCTGACATGGATGCCACATGGATTAAACAATGTTGTAAATATTTTTGCGAAATTATCACCTTTGGTCCTTTATTTTTATTTTTTATGACATTATTGGTCCTTATGTTACACCTCACACATCAATTTGATCACACATGGAGATTTCGTTAAAAATTTTGTTAAATTGTTGACATGACACATATGTGGTGCACACATAGCCAATGAGAAAATGTCAACTGGATCTAAATGAAGAAATGTTTTTTTTAAATAGTTTAACATTTAAAATCTTTTAATTTTTTTTTTAAAATAGAGAATTTTCAAAATGTACATTTTTTTTTATTCATATCCACTTGGCATGATACTAACGGACATGTAGGCTCCACATACATGTTGCATCAAATCCATTAAGTTTTTGTTGAAAAACCCTAAACCCTAAACCCTTTTTTAAATAGTTTAACATTTAAATTTAAATTTTTAAATTTAATAAAGAGAGAAAAATTTCGAAACATAAATTTTTTTATTCCAATCCACTTGGCATGTTATTATTGGACATGTAGGTTCCACATACATGTCATGTCAAATCCGTTAGGTTCTGTTGAAATTTTCATCAATTTAACATAAATTTCAACAAAACCTAACGGATTTGACGTGATATGTATATGGAGCCTACATGTCCAATAATAACATGTCAAGTGGATTTGAATAAAAAAAAATTATGTTTTGAAAATTTTCTCTTTTTTTATTAAATTTTTTCTAAAAGTTTTTAAATGTAAAACTATTTTTAAAAAATATAAAAGACCAATAATGTCAAAAATAATAATAATAATAAAGGACCAAAGGTGATAATTTCACAAACCTCATGGACCATTTGTGATAAAACCCAAAATGTTTAGAACATTGTTTAATCCACGTGGCGTCCACATCAGCAATGTAACGGAAAATTTTGACGGAACCTAATGACGGGACCAAATTGATGTGTGAGGTGTAACATAAGGGACCAATAATGTCTGGAAAAAAAAAACATAAGGGACCGAATGTAATAATTTGGGAAACTTCAAGGACCATTTGTGATAAAAACCCAAAACATAAATACATTACAGATGAGATCCCCTTGGGATCTTAGTACCATACATATCAAAGTAAACTCTAGTCATTAAATCCACCGGAAAATTACTAAACCAAATGCATAAATTATTATACCCATGCCCTCCTTTAGCTAATTGGTCAACAACACTATTAGCTTCTTTATAAACATGCTTGATTGTCAAAAAACTGTAATTCCCAGGAAATTGCCATATATCTTCCGCAAGTGATCATAAACTCCATGATATATTGGCTTGCCCAGTGATGATTTGTATAAGCGTCTTAGAATCCCCTTCAATTTCCACCTACAAAATCTTTAATCTTGTTGCCCAAATTAATGTTGTTTGAAAGCAAAGGCTTTAGCCTGTAAAGCAGATGTATAAACTAAGGGACAGGATCCTACATAACCAGATGAGCTTGTGCATTTCCGATGACAAAGCCTACAATTGAGTTTCCATTGGATAAAACAGAGCCATCAAAGTTTTTGGTAGGATAATTTTTCTTCCGTTTACTGTACCAAAGTTTTCAGTAAAATCAAATCAGTTAACCAAAAGTTTAGTTCAATACATAGGTAGTATCTTTACAAAAAAAGAAATGCTAAGTATCCCTACTACATATAATTAGAATATTGAAATTGACATCATAGAATTACCAAGAATTTCACAATTGGACTAAATACAACTGTGGTAGAGAAATACTAAGAATTCATTGTTAGATGTATGCTCTTAAAGACAACTAATTATGTAATAGTTAGAATTAAGGACATTATTTGTAATGACTTATTAAGTTACTTATGGGCAAGATCAATTGTTTGAATTCATGAAGGGGTGACCTTGAGGGTGTGCAAATGGTGCCACCACACAAGGTCCCTAATTTCTAAGGGCCTTGAAATTTTTTTAAGTGTATATTATGTATATTGATATTATAGGTATATATATTTGAGCGTGCAGGAAAGTAACACAAGTGTATATTTGGTTGAGTTGGAATTCATCCCCTTAATTTTAGTAGGCAAGTTGAGTTTGAATCCATATTGTGTCATTCAGTAGTTGTATTCTTTACATTCCTATTTTTATTATTATAAATAATTCGGTATAAGTCCAATTCTTATGACAGAATTTGGGTGTCCACACACTTATTGTTAGTAATCCAAGTCTTTTGACTTTTGTGCCATATAGGATTAGTTATCTTTTCTTAATTTCTGACATTTATATTTTAATATTTTAATATTTTTAAATTTATGTTGTGGTTCCAAATTTGGCCCTAAGATATATAAATAAGGTAAGTAATGGCAAAAATCCTCAGACGGCAAGAGCAACAAATCGCAAAAATCACGTCCTCCAGAATCAATCGTGGTCCTGTCAAGCCAATTTTTGCATATTTCATGCTTCTTAATTGCCGAGGTTTTTGGGTTTCAATTGAGGGTTGACTGTTATGAGTATGGAAGGAATTTGCCTTTGGGGTTTTTTTACCTTTCGTCTTCGTTAATTGCAGCCGATGGAATTTGCCGTCATCTAGGGGTTTCTCACCTTGTGTCTCCATCAATTGCAGTGCCCGTGTTTCAGGTATGTTGTACATTTACAGGTGGGAACAATTACGAATACAGAGAGTACCTGTATCAATTGAAGTGCATGCATCTCCATCAATTTCATTCACAAATGATTACGAATACAAAGATTACCTGTAAGAGAGGTTCATAGGTACAAATTTGTACCAATTGAATGAGCCATAATAGAGTTAAGGAAATGTATTTCTTTTTCTTCTATAGCCTCCTTCTTGCAATATAGTTGATATATTGCTGATTGAGATTGAGACTTTTCTTTTCTTTTCATTTCATTTTTTGATTGAGATTGAGACTTTTCTTTTCTTTTCTTTTCTTTTCGTTTTTTGATTGAGATTGAGAGTTTTCTTCATAATTGATATATGACATAATTTCATTCACATAACGATTCTGTGAATGTTGTCAGTTGCACAAGAACAATTTTAACAAAATTCCATCCCCGTTTTATGGTTGTAAATAGGAACAATTTTTTCTTTTTTTGTTCTGGCAAATCGAAATTTGTTTGATGGCTTAAATGGATGTTGTTTGCTTTCTTAATTGGATGCTTTCTTAATTGCATATCATCATTTGCAGGTTCTTTATGGCTAGGAAGGAGTATCGCTCCCTCTAATACAGGTCAGCATTGTACCTACAGCACCTGTGCTCCAGATATATACACATTTGACTCACTATCTTATAGGTAACCACCGACATTGTACCTACAGCACCTATACCATAGGTACTGTGTTAGAGATTACTTGTAAGAGAGGTTCATAGATACAAATTTCGAAACAGAGAATCTTAAATTGTTAATCAAGTTTCAAAACAGAGAATGCACTACAACTAAAATAGAGAACGACAAACCGAATTCTGACTGTTATTTTGACATAATTTACTTATCCCTTCTATCCCTTAGCAAGAAAGGTTCAATTGTGTATTGTAACCCTTCTCCATACACTTATAAT